GGAAGAAGAACAAAAAACAATCCCATCTTGCTTGGAGAGCCTGGCGTTGGCAAGACAGCGATTGTTGAAGGCCTTCCCATACGTATTGCGAGTGGAAACGTTCCAGAGTTTCTCACGGTGAGTAGATTTTTTAAACTGCGGTGAAGTTTACTTATTCTTGCTTGCGCATACAGGGGAAGCGAGTGATGTCTCTGGATATGGGATTGCTTCTTGCTGGAGCTAAGGAGCGGGGTGAACTAGAATTTCGGGTTACACGCCTCATAGAGAAAACGCGAAAAGCAGGTGAAGTTTTCCGTTATTTATACTTAGAATGCTGTATCTGACATGCTTGATATCACCAGGCAATGTTATACTTCTTATAGACGAAGTCCATACACTCGTTGGGTCGGGTTCTGTTGGTGGAAAAGGTGGAAATAAAGGGGCAGGCTTGGACATTGTGAATTTAAGTCCTTCAGTGTATAGGTTCAAGGAGCATTAAAAAAAGATAAGTGAGAACCTTGTCATATGAAAAAACATATAGATTCCTTGTTCTAAAGAGATAGATAAAAGATGATGAACAAGCTTCGGGACATATAAAACATTAGTAATCTCAAGACTGAAAATGGGAAAATAGATTGTACCAAAAGCAATTATTCATAAATCCTCACCACTTCCAATACTTATAGACATTAAGAACTTCCTATATCTTATTTGACAAAAGAGAGCTCTATCTGAGGTGTGTAGCTCCACTATCCAGAAGCTAACTTAAATTCTGACACTTCCCAATCTCAGCATCATTTGTGTGAAAACTAGATAAGTCCTCAAAACTTAAAATATCTTCCAAGAAATCATCATGTTCATTGTAGTCTATTATTGCAAGAGTGGCAATTAGTATTTTACATTTACAATCATCTTGTGAACTTAGAGAATTGGAAGATGTTTAAACCCACAACATTCATTACAAATTTCCGTGCTTCATGCAAGTTTGCTCCATTGAATTCCCAGACGTCTTGAATCATTTATTGGAGAAGCACTTTAACATTCTTGCAACTAAAGCCATCAATCTCCTTTTCTTTCTACTAGTCCTTACTATCTTCCAAGGTTGTTTTTATCATAAAAAATGTCACTCAAATTTATATAATGATGAATGTTGGTGATGACTTGATCAAGATTTGGTTGTGTGTGAGTTGTCTGGAGCTCTAATCTGGCCTTCTGAAACTTTTCATTCAATCCAAGAATCAACAAAGTTCCAATGGCATTTAAAAAACCCAACTTCATACTTTGAAGGTTATCACTGAAAAGAATCATCTTCTTATTGTAATCATGAGCTTTTTCTTGATCTCCTTGCTTGCAATTCACCATCTGTCAAAAACTACTCATCTCTACCACTCTTAACCATTAACAGTTCTATTGTTGAAGAGTGTGTCACATTTCTATTGAATATGACATTCATCACCTTGAGAATATCTTTCTACTCAAATTCCTCATATTGCTTTTGATATAGTTGCCTTTGCTTTGGAGTCATCCTTGCTATGTCCTCTAAAGATATCACTATTGGTGGTGAAAATAAAGTGGCTGATGCATTATTTAAGATGATGAATTTTATTTTGTTCATGAAGCTATCCAAAAATCTTTTGGATGAACTTAAGGAGTTTACTGACTTTGACTCTTTTATCACCGATATTCATATGAAGGCTTTTTCAAGGGACACCTCTATAGATTTGAAGGGTGACAAATGTATCATTTGAGATATAAGATAGAATCCTAATGAAGAAGGGATGTGTGGTGGTTCCTTGTGTTGATAAATTCATTAAACAAATTTTTATTGAGTGTCATGATATGCTAAGTGTTAGGCATCTGGGGGAATTTATATGTTGGTGAAGAAGCATTTAGTTTAACCTAGGATGAAGTTAGATGTTGAGAAGTATATACATGGTTGTTTAACCTACTATAATCATCAGAAGTTTATTAACCTTTATCATCCTCCATATGTATCAAAGGATAAATGGAATAACATTTTTGATGAACTTTATCACTAGCTTGCCCAAAGCCTTTCATGGAAATGATGCTATTTAGGTAGTTGTAGATCATTTGATGAAAATAATCTTCACTTTTTCCTAATGAAGATGGCAATTAAAGCTCTTGAATTTGCTCAGCTGTTTGTAGACTAATTATTTAGTTTCTATGGTTTGTTAAGTGATATATAAGTGATTGGTTTAGCAAGTTTATTTGATAAATAGTATTTGAGAAACTAGAAGCTAAACTTAGTATAAATAGTGGTAAACATCTATAGTCATATGGGCAAACATAGCATATAAATCAATTGTTAGAAGATATATTAATCTCTTTTATGGCAAACTTGATTTGCTAGGAAGTATAAGAAAAGTATTTGTTTTTGCTCAAATTTGCTCACAATAGCACTTATTAATTGTCTATTAGCATGTCTCCATTCATGGTGATGTATGGCTATAAACATAGGTCTCCTATGAGTTTGAGTTTAGCTTTGGTTCGGATGTCTCATATTTGTGATTTCTTGAAGGATATACAAAAGTTGGCAAAATTGAATATGAGACATAAGACAATGAGCATTATCATCATTAGAAGTATAAAGTTGGGGACAAAGTTTTCCTTAAATTGTCAAATGCATAACAAAGTGGCAATATTAAATTATCTCTATAGTATTGTGGGCCTTGGACAATTTTATAGTGCATGAAGGATTTTGTTTACACTTTGGACTTGTTAACTAGTTTGAAAATTTATCCAATATTCCATATAAGCAAGCTTAAAGCATGTTAACACTCTGGTGATATCATGGATCAATCCATTATCCAAATCTTAAAGATTAATGTTGATAAGGATGATCTAATATTTTTGCTCAAAAATTGGTGAAAACATGCCATAAAACAACTTAGGAGTTATTGGTTTAATAGAATTGTTATTCCATAGATAAAACTACATGAAAAACCAAGGATGATGTGAAGAAAATGTTGCTAAGTTTTGGTTATAACTTGGATGACATTCCTCTAAGAAAGGGGAAACTTAAGTTTTATCTATATTGCTATATAATTTGAGCTATTTATTCTATTTTTATTTTCTTGTTTCCATGACCATATTATCATGTGAGAAAGCCATATTACTTTCTTTCTTTTATGGCTGTTTGTCACAATGTTGGTGTTGCCATTTACACATTTTTTCTCTATAACCATATTGTTTTGGATTCCCTTTATATAAAACTGATTTAGCTTCTTGAGGCTACCATTTATGACTAGTTCATGAGAGAGGGGAGAATGACATGAACCACAGGACTATCCTATGGTCTATAGGATTTAAAGGCATCATGCCTTAAGGGCTGGGAAGTTAGCCTAAAATTCACTCTTTTGTTTCAAAGGTGTCTAGGTCAATGCATCTATTATATAATGCAATAGGATTGTAGAAAAGCATGAGTGACTGAAGAAGACATATTTTCTCATAAAAATAATCCAGACATGTAGGACTTTCTAAAAAGCAGTGGGGAAACCTGGAAACTATCACATCAACTTTCATTTTGGACAAACTCGGCATCTCCACCCAAAACAGCACTCCCCATCCTCTTCATAGAAGCTGCACTAGAGATCATGGCATAGTGATGTACAATCCAATACCTCTGTAAAACTCACTTCATACCATATGGCATGCTCACAGATCAAGCAAGTCTCAACTCTCAATGGCATGACATGGAGATGTTGACACAGAAGTTTGGCATGGATCTCAATGACATTCTCAGTGCACATGAAGAGGATCTTGAACAAAGCAATGCACACATGGATACATGCCAGAAAACACTTCACGAAATATTACCTTTATTGCCAGGAGATAAACCCAGACAAAACTTTTGGATTGGACATGGAGTAGACACCATTGCCTAGTACCAGACAGGAAGCCACAGCCTCCTGATTGAACTCGGATGCTGCGGACAGGGAAAACTTCCACGACATCTCTATCTGTGCAGAAGACACAGAGACATTCATGCACACACTCAAGGCTTGCCCTCCCTGTGCCGAATTCCGCTCCCCAGACTTCAACTGCAGCGCTGAAATACACATAATCCTCAGAAACAAGGAGACAACCTCATCCGTTGCCAATTACCTGAAATGCATGGAGCTGTGATGGCATCTCACACCTGCCATGGAGGCAACCATAATCAAAGACCTCGAATGGCTGAGGAAAAGAAGACGGGTAGGCAAGGCTAGTGAGTGGAGTGTAATAACATTTTACAAAACTATCAAAATAACATATAGATAGATAAATATATAGATAGAAAATAAAATCACTTATAAATATACATACACAAAAGTACTGTAAAACTTCAATAAGCTTATAGACGTATGTCGCCATGGCCATGATCACCTGAAGATATAACAAATTAAGTTCCATGGTTCTATCAAAGCGAGAATTTACATTTCCATGAGAACTGTGGCTTGGATTGTGAACGTGACCATGAACAAATCCAAGACGTCCATCGCATATTGTAGATATCTGACGAAAAGCATCAACTCAGCACCGTAAATCAAAGAAGCTGCGCATGAATGACCACGCGATCAATTGATCTTCTCGAGCAGCAAGGCTACCATGCCGATCTCCAGCTCTGCCTCCAGCTCGTCAAATCTTGCAGTCACTTCAGGGATCTCTCGCAAGCAAAGAAGCTCCACTCCCAGATCCTTGGAACCAAACACTCGCGCAATCGGCACCTGGAGAACCTCCTCATCGAGATGTATGGAAAATGCGGGAGCCTGGAGCGCGCGCGCGCTGTTCTTGACGATCTGGAGGAGCCAAACATCTTCTCCTGGAATATTTTGCTCACGGCCTACATCGAGCGCGGGCATCTGGAACAAGCCAAGGAGATCTTCGCCAGCGAGATGCCACAGCACAACACCGTCTCCTGGACCGCGATGCTCACCGCGCATTCCCAGAGCGGGAATTTCCAAGATTCCTGGGGCCTGTTCCAATCGATGCCCCGGCGCAACACCATCGCCTGGAACGCGATGATCGCTGCCTGCGGCCACCACGGCCGCGTCGCCCTAGCCCGATTGCTCTTCGACGCCACGCCCGGGAAGAATATCGCGTCCTGGAATGCGATGCTAACGGCATATTCCCAGAACGGGCACATTCCCGACACGAGAAGGATCTTCGACTCCGTGCCGTACAAAAGTACGGTCACCTGGAATGCAATGCTGACGGCATATGCGAATGCCGGGCACGTGGCGGGCGCAGGGGCGGTGTTCGTTGCGATGCCCGATCGCGACCACGTGTCTTGGAACACGATGATCCAGGCGTCCGTTATGGCGGGAGAATTTGAGCTAGCGAAAGAGCTCTTCGCGGCAATGCCAGAGAAGGATTTGATCGCGCAGACCACCATGATCGTCGTGTGTTCCCAGATTGGGGATCTTGGCCAAGCGAAGCGTGTGTTTGATGCGATGGAGCGGCGAGATATCGTCGCCTGGAATGCAATGCTTCAATCGTTTGCCAGTGCCGGGGATTTCGATCGAGCCATGGAGCTCTTTGACAGAATGCCCGAGAGAGATGTGGTGTCGTGGACGGCAATGCTAGTGGCGTATGCCGAGAAAGGGCTCCTGGATCACGCAAGAGCTCTCTTCGATTCAATGCCTCACAGGAGTCTCGTTGCCTGGAATGCCCTGCTAGCTGCGTATTCCAGATCGGGGCATTTGGAGGAGGCCGAGAGATTCTTCCACCAAATGCCTTCATGCAATGTGATCTCTTGGACCACACTCTTTCAAGCATATGCCCTAAACGGGTATCTGGAAATAGCGGCTTTAATCTTCGACTCTATGCCCGAAAGGAACGCTGTGTCTTGGTCCGTGCTGATCCAAGCATACGCAAGGCACTCGCGTTTGGATCTAATCGAGCGCGCGTTTTGGCGGCTGGAAGATCAAACTGTGGTAGCCTGGTCATCGATCATTCAGGCATTTGCCCAGAAGGGGCATGGCCAGCAAGCGCTAAATTTCTTCCGGCTCATGGAGCTAGACGGTGGAGCCTCGCCCGACGAGATCACATTTGTAGGAATCCTCACGGCTTGTGGCCATCTGGGCGATCTCAAGGAAGCGTTGCGGCAATTCTATTCCGTCACCACAGACAGGAAAAATCTCGCGATCACCGCCGAGCACTACGGCTGCTTGATCGACATTCTTGCTCGTCTTGGGCATCTGGGCGCTGCCGAGGATTTGTTTGAGAGCATGCCCTTCGTCCCGGACCGTGCCGCTCGGATCTCTTTGATCTCGGCTTGCAAACTCCACAAGGATTCTCGGCGAGCAGTCAAAACCACCGAGCGAGCGATCAAACAGGATCCAGGACACGCTTCTTCATATGTGCTGCTCTCAAACACCTACACCCAGTAGATCATGAAGTTCTCCGTTAGAAAAGCTTTTGATCGATGCGAAAAACCAAAGTACCTATTGGTAGAGCTGGAAATCTCTCAGCTGGAGCTTCCACCTGCCATCGCCAGTCGAGTGTGCTTGAAGAACATCCGCGCCAACCGAGGGCATTCCATCGAAATCTACGTGAAGAAGTAACACGAGCTCTTGCTTCGATGGCATGTATGGTTCTTCCCCGCCAGCATCGAATTCATCTTCTTCGCTGGTTTTCTGGACGGATCTCGCGGTGATGCTGTCTTTGATCAGCCTCTCGGATGTCAAGCTCAAAACTCTCGTTCTGTCCATTCCTCTCAGCACGATCATCAAGTCCTTGCGACGAACAAGCGGGAGATCTTCGGTGGTCTGCAAGAAAGCATTGAATATCGAAACGATGGAATGGAATTTCTCACACAAACCTGAGAAGAGGAGCTGGAAGAACTCGAGTTCTCACTTCCTGACGAAGTTGGCAGTGTCGGTTGCTCGTCACTAGGAGAGAGCTTCGGATCAGGGATAACCTTTCCTTCTTCTCCTTCCTCTTCACTGGGAGCGAGCTTTGGATCAATGATAAACTTGCGAGGGACATACTCGACGCTCCAGCTCTCGGATTTGTAGAACGCCGGCTTCTTCTTCTTGGATCTGTCCAGAGGCCTCGATCGACCCATGAAGCCGGTCCCAGCGCCCTTGGAGACGGCCTTGGCGATCTCCCGGACGAAGACGCATCCTCGCCCGTGCTCTCTCAATCCCCTCTCCGCCACCGACATCAATGCCGCCGCGCGCTCCGGATCCTCGCAGCACTTCTCAAACACATCGTCCCAGATGAGCATTCCATCCTCGAAATCCCTCTGCCTGCCCGACGAGGAGGAGAACGAGGACGATGGCGGCGAGCGCTTCTTCTTCTCTTTCTTCTCCGTGGGAGATTTAGCCTGCGCTCTCACTGCGATGGAGGAGCCTGTCCATCCTGGGGCGAGATTGGCGCGAGGTAGAGGAGAGAATGCCGCTGCCATCGCCAAAGACGCCATTTCTATCCAGTAAAACCCCAAGAAAGAGAGAAGACTCGATTCTAGATCTCTAAGATGCTCGTGGAGGGCATGATCTACCTGAAAGAGGCAATAACCTCGAGGATCTTGTCAGCGAAACCCTTGAAATCCGGCAGATTCATGGCGGTGTCGAGATCTTTCTCCGCAGTGGCCGACGCATCGATCTTGCTCACGATCGCCTGGAGCTCCTCGTTCCTGAGCATGGCGCGGATCTCCTCCGACGCCGCCACCGCCTCGAGCTGCTGCCTCCGGAGCCTGGTTGCCACCTGCGATTCATCCCCATTCTCGAAATCCCGCGGCGGCTGCACGAGCTGGGCTTGCTCCTCCTCCTCCGCCGCCGCTACCTTCGTGCAGGGCGCTGCCTTGTGATCCTTGAAGCACTGCAGCGAGCAGTAGGGCACCAGGCAGCCCGGGCATTTGTACTTGGAGACCGCGCCACTGCAAATGCCGCACTGGCTCATTGCGCCAAAAGCCCTAGATCCAATAAGAAACATATAACCATGTTTATAAACTTTCTTTCTTATATACTAGCTTCATGTGAATGGTGCCCACGCATGTAAAGAGTGCCTGGTTGAGTAGACGATAACGATTCCGAAACATCTGCCAATCTGATGGAAAGGATGCGTCTCCTTCCTCACTCTTGTTTGCTGTTCGTCTCCTTTCAGGGGCGATCAGCCAAGGGGCGAGCGAACGGTGATGAGCCAATGGGCAGCGGCAGCAATCAGCAACGACCAGCCCAGGGGTAAAGGTAAGTTCCACACTTGCTGGTCACTCCACCGCCACCATGGTTAGTGCTAATGCAAAGGAGCAGGAGACCTCTCATGCCAACTTTCGGAGGGTGGGTGATACCTATTGTTTCAATGCTTGTAGATTTGACTTTGCTGGAGGACTGTGCTAGGTGCTTGTGGCAAGTGGAAAAATGCAAGCATTGGGCAGCTAGCGTTTGAGTCGCTGCTAGAGCTTGGTGATGATCGAGATATTGCAGCAGCCTATTTATTGATGGTGAAAGCCCGATGAAGATATATTGTCACGCAAGGATATTTTCCGACTTTGTCACGCTGTTCTGGCAGCGTCGACCTTAAAATACAGTATAAAAGAAGTGACATTTCAACCAGGCTGAAAGAAGGCTCTCATTTACTCTCATCCTTTCAGAAGCAGAAGGCAGTATGGCGCCTGGATCTAGCACCATGAGTGAAGATGCTCAAGGCCACTTTGATCTCAAGAGCATGATCTTCTCGCTGGTGACTCCTTTCATGCTCAAGGCTGTGGTGCTGCTTGGCATTCCCGAGATGATCTCCAAGGCAGGGCCGCTCTCCCTCAAGCAGATCGTGTCACGTCTCTCAAATGCCAAGAACTGTCAGCCGGATCTCCTCGAGAGAATCCTCCAGTTTCTGGTCCACAAGCGGGCACTGAGCGAGAAGATCGAGAAAGATGGAGAAACGTACTACGGCCTCACTCCAATCTCAAAGTGGCTCGCGGAAGAGCACCATCTCCTGCTCTTGTGCACGCACGAGTATCCCATGGCCGCGTTCCAAAAAGTGAACGAAGCGGTGCTGGATGGAGGCCACGCTTACGAGATGGTCAACAAAGTTCGTCTTTGGGAGCACGACCCCGGCCACGGCGACGAGTACGTGGAGCTGCTCAACAAGGCTACGCTCGCATGGAGCACCGTCACTATCTCCCTCGTCCTCGAGCACTACGATGGATTCAAAGACGTGAAGAAGCTCGTGGATGTTGGTGGTGGCCTTGGAATGTGCATGGGCAAGATCGTGGAGAAATATCCCCACATCGAAGGTGTCAACTTTGATCTCCCTCACACCGTTTCGAGCGCTCCAGCCTTTCCCGGTAAGATTCAAGACACATTTTCTTCTGATTTCTTCATGTTTTTTCTTAACAGGTGTTGCTCATGTGGGAGGCAACATGTTTGAGAGTGTACCAAGTGCTGATGCTCTTCTTATCAAGGTACTCTGTCTTCTTTTCCTTGACGTTATGATCTTCGTGGTGTTTCTTCAGTCTGTAATCATCAATTTTAGCGACGAGGATTGCCTCAAGATGCTGGCGAATTGCTACAAAGCTCTGCCACGAGGAGGCAAACTGATAGTGATCGAGCTCATATACTCCAAGGAGAGACCATTCGAGATGGATCTGGACATGATTATGATCGGCTTCACAGACGGTGGCAAGACCAGGCGATTTGAAGAACACAAAGCGCTGCTCGAGAACAGTGGCTTTGGCAACGTTTCCCTCGTGTCCGTTCCTTCCAAGGAGCAAGTTATAGAAGCTTACAAGCTCTAAACGAAGTGAATAAGATGTTTGTGCTAATTGTATTTTAGAGTTTATTGTCACCGTTGACAATATAGACTCGAGCATCATCGATAAAAATAAAAGAGTTCCAGGCTTGGATCATATTCTTCCTGGAGATTTTACCACTTTGGCAATGGGATAGGTAACTAAAACACGAGTCATGTCCAGAACTGGGGGTTGGTCTTTGACTCTACGTCCAGAGAAGACATGGTAAACTGGAACGCTCTATATAGCATCTTCACAAAGTTTTCAGCCTCTTTCAACTTTCGTCTCAGTTTTACCGGTGTTGGGCAGCTAGCATTCAAGTCACTGCTGGAGATTGATGATGATCTAGATGTTGCAACAGTGATGGTGAAAGCCCGTATCTTGACTTTGTCATGCAGGGATATTTTCTGACTTTGTCTGGCAGCATGGATCTTAAAATACAGTAGACAAGGAAGTGACATTTCAACCAGGCTTAAAGAAGGCTGTTGTCCTTTTAGAAACAGTAGGCAGTATGGTGCCTGGATCTAGCTGTCAGAACAGATCACTATGTTACTAGAGCATGGTGGCATGATTCTAGGAACCCCTTATGTATATCAAGATGTGAGACTTTGAAGGTGTAATACAAATCTTGTACGAGAGGAATGAATGTTCTTTTTGTTTTAGGGTTTCCTTTGGCATGAGAAGCAAGATCATGAAAACAAGTGGCAGAAGATTGGGTCATGGGTAGGGCAAGCCCATCTTTGCCCAAGCGAGGTGTTAGCCCAACAAGTTGTGAACTAGCTTAATGAGACTTACATCAGCATCGTCTAACCAAAGCTTGCCACATGTACTAAGTTTAGAGCTTGCAGTCTCAAAGTGCATTCGATCCAGCACCATGGCTTGGATTTCCTGCAGCTCATGGCACAACATTTCCATAGCTATATCAAATTTCTTACTTGGTCTAGGGTTTTTGAACTCCTCTCTTCTCTCTCATTTTTTTTAATTTCTTTTCTTAGCTCAGCTCAGAAACAGTCTTCGTTGAACTTTTTGAAAATTGGATGGATCCCTTCTCATTGTATTGCTGCCACTGCTTGAATTCCTTCATTGCCGGAGATGGGATGAAATGCAAGTGTAAAGTGGGTAAAAGAGGGGCCAAATATTAGTATTATTTAAATAAACCTAAAGGATGCTATAACTTTCTTGAGAGCTTGATTTTTTTAATTACACCCCTTAATATCAAACTCAATATGTGATATGATTCCCCTAGCCAATCAACAGAATTGGGCCCGAGACCTTTTAATTAAATTGCCAAATGTCAAATTTAATATATAATGTGATTCCCCTAACCAACCAACAAAGTCGGACCCGAAAGGTTCGCTCTTTTGATTGAATTGTTAAATGTCAATTTCAATATATAATAAGATTTCCCTAGCCAAATGTCAATCTTAACATATAACATGATTTTTCTTACTAAAGACCCCTTTGACACTAAATATAAACTTTAATTGATTGAAAAAGAGGGAGTTATTCTTTTTAATTATTTATATTAGCTTAACAAATGAGTCATTACCTATCAAAAAAAGATAGAGGTAAGTAGATAAATCAAACACAAGTAAATATTAGAATGATTAGAATGGGAAAATGGTTGAGCTTTGAGGATAATAAACTTTAAGATTTTGTTATAGCATAATAATGTATTTAAATGGCTTTTAATTATGGAGGTAAAACTCAACAAAAATATATTTTTTAAGATTGTTTCTAGAAGAGATCAATCACTAGCAGTGATATCTTTAAAGGATGTAGTAAAAATGCAAAAACAATTGCATCAAAAATAATATAAAGATTTTGAGTAAAAGAATATTGTTGCAAAATTAATTCTCATTTAGAGAGTGCACTAAAAAAATATTCTCAAGGTGAAGAAATATCTTAATTCATTAGAAGTAAAACACTCTTCAACAATTTTATTACAAATAATAATAAATGATAGATATAACTATTTTTTTTACAAATGGTGAATTGTAAGTAAAAATATCAAGAGAAAGTTTAAGATTATATTGAGAAATGACTCTTCGCAGTAATAAACTTTAAAGTATAAAATTGGGTTTTTCAAGTGTTATTAGAGTTTTATTAATTTTTTTATTGAGTGAAAAGTTTTAAATGGCCAAGTTGAAGCTTCAAGAAACTCAAACATGACCAAGTTTTGACCAAGTCATTGCCAACATTTATCATTATGCAAGCTTAAGTGGTATTTTTGAAGTTAAAAATAAACATAAAGATAATAATGACTAATAAAAGAAAGAGAGATATGGCTTTAGTTGCGAGAATGTCAGAGCACTTCTCCAATAATATCTAGAAGCCAACTTAGATTTTGACACTTCTCAATCTCAGCATAATCTATATGAAAACTAGATAAATCCTCAAAGTTTAAAGTACTTTCCAAAAAATCATCATGTTCATTATAGTGTATTATTATAAAAGTGACAACTAATCCTTTACATTTATAATTGCTTTGTGAATTTAGAAAATTGGCTGTAACATATCCAAACCTATAACATTCATTACAACATATTTCATATGAGACTGCTCCACCAAATTCTTAGATGTTTTTGAATTATATGAAGCTACACACCATATAACATTGGACAAAACTCTCTTTTATCAAAGCAAATATAAGAAGTTTTCAATGTCTACAAATACTAAAAGTGGTGAGGATTTATGATTAATTGCTTTTGGTACAAGCTATTTTCCCATTTTAAATCTTAAGATTACTAATGTTTTGTATATCCCTAAGCTTATTTGTCATCTTTTATATATCTCTAAGCTTTTAAAACAAGGAATCTATATGGTTTTCCATAGGACAAGAGCAAATTTCAATTTCAATAAAACTCAAATAACTTAGGCTACATATATAAATGGACTTTATTATGTTTCTTTAGATACTTTGGCAGCTCATACTATTTCAATATTTAATGATTCTGTATTATAATTATGGCACTATGGATTAACATATGCAAGTTTTTGTCGTGTTACAAACACTAGCACTGTTAAATGGTATACCATAACTGGAAAGACCAAGTCTAGAAGATTGCAATGCATATTTTCAAGCAAAAATGAAGAAGCCATAACCCAAAAAGGTAAGACTCAAGGTACTTTTTTATTAGCACTAGTTCATATAGATATCTAGGGTCTATCTGATTTTAAATGAGACTAAATATTTCTTACTAATTGTGGATGACTTCAGTCATCACACTTTTGTTTACTTCCTAAAATAAACTCCTCTCAAATTTTACAATTCCATTCAAATAGTCTCTGAATTCTTCATATTGATGGAGGCCAAAAACTACTTTTTACAAAGGTCCAAACCATCCTTGCATCTCAAGGTGTTTCTCTCCAAATATACGATCACAAATAAAATGGAGTTGTAGAGAGAGATGCTCACTATTTTGGATGTTTCTCACAAAGCATATGTTTCATATAAGCAGAGGCAGTCAATACTGCAGTATATTCAGAATGTACTACCCCTTCTGAATTATGGACAGGTATGAAACCATCTTTTACTTACGTGCTTTTTGCTGTATAGGATACTCCCATACCTTTGATGAACAAAGACAAAACAAGTGGGAAGATAGGACTATTATATACATGATGCTAGGCTATAGCAAGACCACAAAAGAAGGATATCAAGTGTGGTTTTTAGCCAGAAGAAATTCCTAGTTTGGAGGACTCGTCTCTTTAGAGAAATGATCCCTACATACTCAACTTCTACTTCAATTGGAAGTTCTAATACTTAGGTATTTATCAGACTTCAATCTAACTGTGTCTTGGCAGCTTGAGGAACAACGATGTCACTCCCTCCATAACCACCTCCACTGATAAAAACAACTGCCAGCAGATTTCCCTCAACTTATAGTGATTTAACTATAGGTACTCTTATGTTGAAAGTTCTATAGAAGAACAAGACGTTGAACAAACTATTCAAATAGAGCTTGAACGAGAATGGATTCCTAGCATCACTCAACCAGAACCTAGAAGCCAACAAGAAATATTCTACAATATCATGCTTAGGTTGCTCAAGTTATCCAAGAACCTCTAACTTTACAGGAAGTACTTGGAGGACCACAAAGATTTCACTGAAAGGCTGCTATGCAAAGCGAGTATAACGCTCAGCTTGAGAATGATGCATGGAGCCTTGTTCTTAGGGAGTCTATACCTACAGGCACATCGATTATAAAGTGTAAGTGGATCCACAACCTCAAATACAAGGAGTCAAACGAGATCGAACACTAAAAGGCATGGTTAGTAGCAAAAGGATGCAGCCCGTTCTTGGAATATGCCGTTAGCATCGCATTCCAGGACGAAGAGCAATCGCGCTAGGGATTATCGCGATCATCGCGTTTCAGGCGATGGTGTTGTTCCGGGGCATCGATTGGAACAGGCTCCAGGATTCTTGAAAAGTCCCGCTCTGGGAATGCGCGGTGAGCAGTGCAGTCCAGGAGACGGTGTTGTGCCGTGCCATCTCGCTGGAAGATCTCTTTGGCTTGTTCCAGATGCCCGCTCTGCCAGGAGAAGGGGTTTGGCTCCTCCAGATCGTCAAGAACAGCGCGCGCGCGCGCTCCAGACTCCCGCATTTTCCATACATCTCGATGAGGAGGTTCTCCAGGTGCCGATTGCGCGAGTGCTTGGTTGCAAGGATCTGGGAGTGGAGCTTCTTTGCTTGGGAGAGATCCCTGGAGTGACCGCAAGATTTGACGAGCTGGAGGCAGAGCTGGAGATCGGCATGGTAGCCTTGCTGCTCGAGAAGATCGATTGGAGCACAAATACCTTCTTCTCGCATATTCACGTTTTAGGTCTCCATTTGATATTGCGATGCGCAGGTTGCGTTCTCTACTCGCGTTGAGAAGGGGTGAGTGCTTCCTTGTCTTCGAGCGCTTTTACTCTTGACGATTGGATCAAACGTTGTGTGCAGGCTTTTGCTCCTCCAGCGGTAGTGGTGATTACATTCTTAGCTGCGTCAGCTCGAGTGAAGAGGTATGCAGTACCATTGATTGAATGAAGAACACACTAACGAGGATTTTAGATCGAGATTCATAGTGTCAAAGCCGATGCTCTCGTTCGGGAAGCTCAGAGAACGCTTCAAACTTCTCGAATGGTATGTGGAGCCTGCTCATTTCTTGGATTGGTTATTGTTTTTTCTCCTTTAGTCGTCGATCGTTCTTGGTAACGCGATGATGGGATCGGTTCTTTTGAGCTCGATTTTTCCCGACGCGAATGCTATCACGGTGCGATGCGTTTTGCCTTTCTCTATCATTGTTTGCAGGTGAGTTGATGATGTTTTTCGTCAGATATCAACAGTATGCGATGGACGTCTTGGATTTGTTCATGCGGCCACTACATTTGATGGTTTCACGACGGGTCACGTCCACAATCTAAGCCACAGTTCTCATGGAAACGTAAGTCCCCGCTTTGATAAAACTATGGAACTTAATTTGTCATATCTTCAGATGATCATGGCCACGGTAGTCAGAGAGTGTGACATGCGCCTGTCTATAAGCCTATCGAAGTCTCACAGAACCTTTGTGTAAGTACGCTCCATCTAGCAAGTGATTTTCGTTTCTATCCTTCTGTTCTTTCTCATGTTGTAGGTCCCCGATGGGACCATCTCGTGAAGTTGCAGAGAGCTTAGCATATTTTCTTTGGAAAAACCAGAAGGTAATATTGATTGGTCGCTCTGTTTTCTTCACACATTGTCTTTCATCCTTGCAGATGGATACAGCAGCTAGCTTAGCTATGAAATTTGACGAACACAACATTGTAAAGACTGCCCGAGGTTTCATTATTCAGGTAACTTGATTATTTTCCATGTTTTGGTATAGATAAACTCTTGTGTTTGACCGCAGGTGTATCCTCTGTCTGAAAAATTAGCCTGCCATCAGCTACGCGAGAACATTGAAAACTCTCCTTCACTTGCTGATCTGGACGATACGGACGCAAGAGACATTATTGAGAAGCTTCTGCATGGGATTGAACCTGGCAGTTTTTCACAGCGTGATCTCAAATTCCAACCTGTTGGTGAAGAGGAGCGGCAGAGGTTTCTGTGGCAGCGAGAAAAGTTGTTTTCTTCAAACCAGGCAAGAACCTATGAGAAAATGATTAACAATCCTACATCGCAGGACTTCGAAGAAACAAAGCTCCCACCTCAGCATCCGTCCGACCTCTATAAGCTTGCCAATGGCGCGTTTACAAGCAAGATTGGAACGACTCGGAGGGGACCTCGCAGACCAGAAATAAGGATGCCGCGCATGGTACACACACCTTCCCGTGAGCGTTCTTTCAAGGTATTCACTTTCTGAACTAGTTGACAGGGGAAAAACGAATGGCGCTGTTGTCATGTAAAATTGCTAAGCTATCTTTGCGTCGTGCAGCGACATGGTGGGATCAATGAGCAGGAAATGACGGAGAATGGTTTCGAACAAAGGAAAAGGTGATTTTTCATTCATTCGTATAAGCTTTTACTTTTGGTGGAGCGAGGTGGTGAACGAAACGGGTACTGCTGGATGGTATCAGCCAGGGAGTGGACGACACGGCTGTCCATGGGCTTCACCAGTGGGACGACCACGAAATCATATGTGTGGTTCCTCACACTCAAAGGATTCGAGTATGGAATGTTGTGGCTGTTGTTGGAAGGAGCAACGTAAGGCTCGAGAATGCGGGTCCTGTGAAAACCAGGTCAACATAGATCATAGAAGAACGTCAGAGGTGCCATCTCGTCAAAGCTTTGGATGTCAATTGTGGGAGGCGAGTCATTGCTGCTCAAGGGGATAAAGTTGCCACTCGCCACGGTGGTATTGGATGGGCGATTCATCCTTGATACAGCAATTTCCAATGGCATCTTTCTCACCCCAGTGTTCTTGTGTTGCTTGTAACACTGTTAAACGCAGGAAAATTGACGGGAGACAATTGTAGTAGTTAATAATATTTTAGTTTATAACCTTTAGTATGAATTTAGAGTATGGGATATACAGCTTTGTGGCTTGATCTTTTAAGTCTGTTTTCCGTGCAGGTAGGTAAGACCTCGACTGAAGTTTCGACTTCCGAGTGCCAGTGTATGCAATTTGTAAACCGCGTGACTTTTTCACCATGGAAAAGGGGGTTTACAAATTGCACTCCACCTGGAAATGGAGTGTTGGCTTTTAAAATCATAACTTGCAACTTGTAAAATGAAACGCACAAAATGCTTGAACTTTGGCTAAAACTGCGTCTCCCCGACGTCTAATTGCAGTATTCTGACTCTTTGTGGAGGGCCCTGCGCATCTCGTTTCTGCATCTTTGTTTTTGAATAAGAGCCCAGAACAACAAAGAGCAGATTATAAGGGCTGTAGTTGCAGCAACACTGCATGCAATGGCAAGCTAGGAACTCATTCCATGGGATGGTTTGGAAATTGGAACTTGGGAAAGGCAGCATGGGAAAAAAAAGAGAGCATTCCAGGCCTCAAGAGCATTATTTATGTAATCTTATGTGGAACATCTTGTTGCACCGTTCAAGGTCTAGACGGGGTCCCTTTAGGAGGTAAATAATTGTCCCCCACGCAGATGATTTTACCATTACGAATGAGAGCGCATCTACCACCACGGTACTGCTGCCTGATGGTGCAGCAATTCTGACAGTGTTCCGGGAATAATACATCACCGCATCGGAGGATAGAGCCGGCAAGGCATTCCTTCGTGCAAGCTGCAGGAAACACGTTTAGCGAACCCCCATGAAATGGAGACTCGACTCAGATGAATAAAGATCGCTGGATTCAGCATTTTACTTCCTTACCTTGAGCTTCTGTTTTTCCCAGCAGCACCAGCAGAGCTGCGAGCAGTAAGCAGAGCGAAAATAAGTGAGACCTCATTGTGGACGATAACAAGCGATGCTTGAATGAGCAGAATGCTTGCCTTCGCCCGCTTTTGTGGGTATTTTATAGTCAGCTGGTCCTGGAGAAACGTGCCTGTACGAAAGGTGAGCGATGACTGTAAGGTGTCTCCTATTGTGGGCTCTACTTGACTTTCGTGTGCTCGGTATTACAGGCGATTGGCATCCCAGTCAAGAAAGTACCAGAGTTCAATATGGGATGCAACTACGAAACTACTGAAAAGAACGGGTGAAACTTCGATTGTCATAGGCTTGTGGAAGGCCTTCTCAAAACCCGACTGGAAATTCGCACTACTTGGCCATCTACCAGGAGATTCGGGCGGCTCAAGCACAAGAGAGTGTAGAGAGAGAGAGAGTAGGAGGTAGAGACGATCCTTCTTCTTCTTAGTGGTCTTATGCTTCAAAAGCATAAGACCCCAAAAGCATGTATTGAAAGCACATGCCTAAAGTGGGCAACTTTGAGGAGACTTTACAAACTTTCCTGTCAAGGACGTAATATTCTGGACCACCATAGCTGCAGCATTTTCCCGCATCTTGATCAATCACGCAAGATCTTTGAGGAAATGAACACTGCATCCTGGAACGATTCCCGTTGTTGAGAGAAGTTTTTTGATCAAACCAGACCAGAACCTATTATAACAAGAAACAGAACTACCACTCAGCATCCGTCCAACCTCAATGCAGCATTTATAAGCAAAGAGAAATAAGGATACTGCGCAGGTACACATGCCTTCATCAAAGTCATGAGAGGCCAATTCTTCAAGGTATTCTCGTAAAACAGAAGTAAAACTTATAGCTGAAGCATGGTATGTAAAGCCAATAATGTGAAAAGTAGCATTTTGGGCAGCTAAGTTGGACAGCAGAACATACATGGTATCCACAGGGGAAGACCTCAGTGAAGAAGCTAGAGCAGCGTTTCTGGAGGAGTTTAAAAGAGCAGTGTAGGCAACATGGTTGGCTGTGGAGCAGCTCTTGGGTCTCTGGGATCTTGCCGGGGCGACCAAGGATGGAGCGAGCAAGCCTGGCGATGAGAATTGGCATCGGGCACACGCCATCCTCTTGTAAAGATCCAAGGCTTCTACAGCATGAGCGTTTTTGGCATGGCCATGAAGCATTGCGTTCCAGGAAACACTGTTCCTCTCCGGCATTGTCTCAAAGATCTTGTGTTCGAGACGCCCAAACTGCAAACATGCTGCTGCCATGGCCTTGACAGGGATCGCGCTCCTCAATTTGCCAATCTTGGGTGTTAGGCACCAGGTCAGGATAATAGGATAAGGAAAGGGCCCTGCAATCAAGTGATCACCCCTTTAGCCAGTTGGGTTAGGGTGTAAGGGATAGAATCCTAACAATGGTATTGGAGCCTAGTTTGATTCTCGTGGCTGATGAGTGGGGCAAGAATATTCTGAAAGAATATTTAACATGGTGAATCTAGAGGGAGAACCAAGGTTTGGGAGACCCTAAGAGAAGGACCATGGTGACCAGATGGTGGCCTAAGTATGATCGCGGACGATCATTCTCTGACGAGGGAAGATTGTTAGGCACCAGGTCAGGATAATAGGATAAGGAAAGGGCCCTGCAATCAAGTGATCACCCCTTTAGCCAGTTGGCTTAGGGTGTAAGGGATAGGATCCTAACATTGGGCATGTGCGGCATGAACAAGTTCCAAGTGGTTTCTCTGAGGGCAAGGTCTTGAGTCGCCCATGGAATCGAATATTTCACGCGCTGCCATAGCACGCAAGCATGGCGTTCCAGGTGACCACTTTCCAATCCCTGGCCCCGTCAACTACATCCCTTCTTTTAAGTGCCCGCCGCGAGACGAGGATCACCCAGGAGACGACACGCCGGCATTGCGTGGAACAATCGCAGGCCTCGCTCGGCGTGCGGTTGCATGGCGCTGTTCCACGCTACAACGAGTTCCGGTATTCGATCGAAGAAGAGCTCGAAAGTACGCTTGGAGAATTGCGTTCCGCGTCGAACAGGGAGTTCGCTTCTTGGAGCTAGCTGTGCTCGGCGTAGGCCTCGACTGCCATGTTCCAAGAAACCAGGCCCCGCGTTGGAGAGCTGTCGAAGAGGTTCTTGGCAGTGTGGAGATTTCCCGATCTGGCATGGCGGCGATCATGATATTCCAGGCGATCACATCCTTTCCGGGCATAATCTCAAACAAGAACATTTCCTTGTCGATTTCCCAGCTGCTCGCGTGCGTGACGAGCATCGCGGTCCAAGAAACCACATCTCTCCTCGGCATTCTCTTTGAAGAAATGCCTCACCATGGCCAGATTTCACTCCGAGGCATACCTCTGCGCCAAGATGTTCCAGGACACTTGATCCTTCTCCGGCATTGCGTCACACAGTAAGCTCGCTCGATCAAGGTCTCCACTCTCGTCTCCACTTCGCGTGTAAGCTGTGTTCTAGGCCACAACATTCCGCTGTGGCATCCGATCGCACATCCGGATCTCGCTAGCGATTCCACGATCACGGTCTCGGCAATCACGACCTTGTATGGCATCCGAGCCAGCAGCGACTCCGCTTCCACGCAGGCCGCGATCATCAACGTCCACGACACAATATAACTACTACAACTGTCTCCTTTTTGGTCTCCCGTCACCTATCTATTTTACTGCCATGCCAAATTTCTCGTTTTGGTTTCCAGGTTCTTTGTGCAGGTAGGCAAGACCGAAGTTCCGACTTCCAAGTGCCAGTGGAGTGCTTCCAGGTTATGGCTTTTAAAATCCATTAGTCCAGCAAACCTTTGGGCAGGAACTCATAAAGCAGTAACTTGAAACTTGTAAAATGGAACGCAGAAACCACACAAAATGCATGAACTTTGGCTAAAAACTGCGTCTCCCCGACTACTGAGAAAACCTTCTAACTGCAGTATTCTTAGAGGGCCGTGTACAGCTCGTTTCTGCATCTTTTGTTTTTGCATAAGAGCCCAGAACAACAAAGAGCCTGATTATAAGGACTGTACTTGCAGCAACACTGCATGCAATGGCGAGCTCTAGCAACTCATTCCATGGGATGGTTTAGAAATTGGAACTTGAGAAAGGCAGCACATGAAACCTGGCATTTTATTAAAACAGCACCAAAGGAAAAGGGTTAAAAATTGACCACTGTTTTTTTTCTATAAGAATAATGTTTATTATTATTAATTATTAAAATTTTATAATTACAAACATATTTATAATTTATAAACACTGTGAATATAATTAGGGTTTAGACCCCTCTTTATGAATGGACCAAATTAAGTCCTGAATGGATATTCTATATGTTATAGAGTACTATAATTAGCATATTACCTAGGCATGGTGTTATATATATATATATATATATATATATATATATATATATATATATATATATATATATATATATATATATATATATATATATATATATATATATATAAAACTGATTAATAATGATAAACATGTTTATAATTTATAAATCAAGATTAATTTTATTGCATATTAACCAATGGTAGAATAAAAAAGAATGTACTAGGAAGTGTTTAAGAAAGTTTATAAATTATAAATACAAAATTAATCTAAATGAATAATAACTGTTAGATGGTAAAATCTGTTATAGATGAAGCAGTTACAACTACTTCTAATGCTCCAAGGTATGTCCCATTTCACTACATATACTCAAGTTAAAATTTTGACCTATTAAGAAGAAATAGAAATGAACTACAAGTAAAATAGAGTTATATTGGGGCTTAGTTAATGCATTAGAAAAAGAAAGCCAACAATCAATTCCTGAAGAAGTTAAGTTGCTAATCAAAAAATGGAGATTCAATAGGATTGATATATCTTTGGGTTAGAGACAATACAGGGAAAAAATTTATATTACAACTAGTTGATATAAGATTTTGTATGCAATACATTCATAAAATCTTTGTAGTCACATGACTAATAAAAAAAACTTGGCAGTCAAAAAGAAATTCAATTTTGAACCCTGAATGATGGTTGGATAGAAAATCACTTAGACTGCCTGCTACAAATTGATTGCATAAAGTACGTAGCAAGACCAACCTCAAAGTCCACTCGGCAGTGTGGAAACTTTCAGCATTCTCTTTATTTATGTAATCTTATAAAACATCTTGTTGCACCGTTCAAGGTCTAGGCGGGGATGTTCCAAAAGGAGGTAAATAATTGTCCCCCACGCAGATGATTTCTCCATTACGAATGAGAGCGCATCTACCCCCACTGTACCGCCTGATGGTGCAGCAATTCTGACAGTGTTCCGGGAATATTACATCGCCGCATCGGAGGATAGAGTCGGGAAGGCATTCCCCCGTGCAAGCTGCAGGAAACACGTTTAGCGAACCCCCATGAAATGGAGACTCGACTCAGATGAATAAAGATCGCTGGATTTTGAGCTTCTGTTTTTCCCAGCAGCACCAGCAGAGCTGCGAGCAGTAAGCAGAGCGAAAATAACTGAGACCTCATTGTGGACGACGAGGAGTAACAAGCGATGCTTGAATGCTTGCTTTCGTGGGGATTTTATAGTCAGCTGGATTTTCTGCTGGATAGAAAGTCCCTGGCCGGTGCTTCTCTAGTGACGTGTTTGTATATTTGCGCTCCGGGTTTAGCTTGCCGTACACGGAAAGCGCATCGACGAAAGGTGAGCGATGACTACGTAGAGTTCAATATGACATGAAGCTACAGGACGTCAAAGAAACACGGGAAAGAACGCAAGAAAGTTCGATGGTTAGGCTTTTGGAGGAGGCATAAAAAGTCTCTCAAAACCTGCAACTTGAGGAGATTTTACAAATTTTCCTGTCAAGGACGTAGTATCCTCGACCCCCATAGCTGCAGCATTTAGGAGCACTGTTTCCTGGAACGCTATGCTTCACGGCTATTCTGGCTACTCATTGTTATTGAGACAAGTTATATTTTTCAAACCACCTACTATAACAAGAAACAGAACTAATCTGTAACCAATGGAGCATTTACAAGCAAGATTGGAACAACTGCCAAGGGTCATTATAGACCAGAAATAAGGATGCTGCGCGGGTACATGCCATCAAAGTCACGAGAAGGCATCCTTTCAAGGTATTCTCTTAGCTGAATGGGTATTAACAATAGCTGCCGCTAAGTTGGACAGCAGAACATACATGGTATCCACAGGGAACAACCTCTAGAACAGCATTTCTAGAGGAATTTAAAAGAGCAGTGTATGCAACTTGGTTGGCTTGGAATGGCATCGTGTGGAGCAGCTCTTGGGCCTCTGGTATCTTGCCGGCCCGGCCAAGGATGTCGATCATACAGCAGTAGTGATCAATTGTCTCGGCGATGGAGTGATCGAAGCTCATGGAGGAGAAGTGGTGGATTGCCAGAGCGAGCAAGCCAATGTGGTTACAGGCGATCAAGGTGGCGATGAGAGTGGTGGCATCGGGATCTACTCCTTCACACGCCATCCTCTTGTAAAGATCCAAGGTTTCTACAGCGTGGGCGTTCTTGGCATAGCCATGAAGCATTGCGTTCCAGGAAACAGTGTTCCTCTCCGGCATTGTCTCAAAGATCTTGTGTGATCGATCAAGACGTCCAAACTGCGAAAATGCTGCTGCTATGGCCTTGAGAGGGATCGCTCCTCAATTTCCCCATCTTGGGCATGTGCTACAAGAACAAGTTCCAGGCCAGTGGTTTTTCTGAGGGCAAGGTTTCGAGAAGATTTTGTGCTTCCTCCAAGCTATCGTTTATATATCATCAAAGCCCAAGACATTCCATTTCTCTCGCCCATGGAATCGAATATTTCACGCGCTGCCATACATGGCGTTCCAGGTGACCACGTTTCGATCCCTGACCCCGTCAAATACTTCCCTGGCCTCTGAAATGCCCGCCACGCCCTATCCCCGAGACGAGGATCGTCCAGGAGAAGAGGTTCCACGCCAGGCCTCGCTCGGCGTGCGCTTGGACGTCCAGATCCGGGCACCAGGCGGTCGGACCGAAGGTACGCTTGGAGCATTGCGTTCCAGGAGAAGATATTGCAGCAAGGAATGGCGTCGAACAGGGAATTCGCTTCTTGGAGCTAGCCGTGTTCGGCGTAGGCCTCGACCGCCATGTTCCAAGAAACCACCGCGTTGGAGCGCTGTCGAAGAGGTTCTTGGCATCGTGGAGATCTCCATGCCAAATTTCTCGTTGTGGCTTGATCTTTAAGTCTGTTTTCCAGGTTCTTTGTGCAGGTAGGCAAGACCTCGACTGAAGTTCCGACTTCCAAGTGCCAGTGGTGCTTCCAGGTTTTGGTAGAAAATCTTTCGGCCTAAAAATTGACCACTAATTACTTTTTATAGTCAAATACTATTATTATTAATCCAATCAACTGGAAGTTTACTCCCAAAATGTAAGAAACTTGCTGTGTGTTGCACGCAGCAACACTTGTTTGCTTAATAGTACCAAAAATACTAGAAACCAATTATAAACATGTTTATAATTATAAATAAAATAGTAATCTAGATTGTAGAATATTTTAAAATATTCAAATATATTCTAGATATATCCACTAAATTGTAAAACTAAACATACAACTAAGGTATATACCTGTTATAGGTGAAACAAATACATGTGTAGTCTAAACTTTTGATGTATTAGGAAGAAATAGAAACAAACCACAAGTAAAAAAAGTCAAAATAAATTTTATTTTGGCTTGGCTACTGCATTACAAGCTATTTCACTAGCAGAAGAAGAAAGTCAGCAATTGATGCCTGAGGAAGTTAAATTATTAATCAGAAAACGGACATCTAATAAGGATATTGATACATTTTTGTGCTCAACTTGTGACAGATCCTACAGGTAAAAGTTTTATATTACAACTAGTTGATTTTAAATTTTATATTCAAATTTACATTCATAAAATATTTGTAGTCACATCACTAATAAAGTAAACTAGGCTACCTGTTACAAATTGATTGCCTAAAGTACGTAGTAAGACCAACCTCCTCAAAGTCCACTCGGTAGTGTGGAAACTTTGAGCATTCTCTTTATTTATGCAATCTTATAAAACATCTTGTTGCACCGTTCAAGGTCTAGGCGGGGTTGTTCCAAAAGGAGGTGAATAATTGTCCCCCACGCAGATGATTTCTCCATTACGAATTAGAGCGCATCCACCACCATTGTACCGCCTGATGGTGCAGCAATTCTGACAGTGTTCCAGGGATACTACATCGCCGCATAGAAGGGTAGAGTTGGGAAGGCATTCCTGCGTGCAAACTGCAGAGAAATACATTTACGTTTAGTGAAATGGAGAACGACTCAAATGAACAAAGAACATTTTGCTTCCTTACTTTGAGCTTCTATTTTTCCCAGCATCACCAGCAGAGCTGCGAGCAGTAAGCAGAGCGAAAATAGGTGAGACCTCATTGTGGACGACGACGATGCTTGAATGCCTGCTTTCGCGGGGATTTTATACTCAGCTGGATTTTCTGCTGGCCTGTGCTTCTCTAGTGACGTGTTTGTATCTATGAGCTCCGGGTTTAGCTTGCCGTACACGGAAAGTGCATCGATGAAAGGTAAGTGATGACTCCGTCTTATTTTGTGGGCTTATCCTGATTTTCGTGTACTCGGTGTTCTTGGTAGCCCAGTCAAGGAAGTACCAGAGTTCAATATGAGATGAAGCTACAGGACGTCGAAGAAACAAAACTACATGGAAAGAATGCATGAAAATTCGATTGTCATAGGCTTTTGGAGGAGGCATAAAAAGTCTCTCAGAACCTGAGAACCATTAGCCTGCAACTTGAGGAGATTTTACAAATCTTCCTGTCAAGGAGAGCCCATAGCTGCAGTATTTAGGAGGAACACTGTTTCCTGGAACGCTATGCTTCACGGCTATTCTGGCTATTGAGAGAAGTTAGTTTTTTCAAACCAGGCCAGAACCTACCTATAACCAGAAACAGAACTAAGCTGTCCAACCTCCTTTTACAAGCAAAATTAAGGGTCCTTATAGGCCAGAAATAAGGATGCCTTCAGAGAAGGCATCCCTTCAAGGTATTCTCTTAGCTGAATGGGGTAAATAACAATAGTTGTCCTATTATCAATAGTTAATTGTGAAAAGTAGCATTTTGAGCTGCTAAGTTGGACAGTAGAACATACATGGTATCCACAGGGAACGACCTCACTGAAGAAGCTAGAGGAGCATTTCTGGAGGAATTTAAAAGAGCAGTGTATGCAACGTGGTTGGCTTGGAATGGCATCGTGTGGAGCAGCTCTTGGGCCTCTGGTATCTTGCCGGCCCGGCCAAGGATGTCGATCATACAGCAGTAGTGATCAATTGTCTCAGCAATGGAGTGATCGAAGCTCATGGAGGAGAAGTGGTGGATTGCCAGAGCGAGCAAGCCAATGTGGTTACAGGCGATCAAGGTGGCGATGAGAGTGGTGGTATCGGGTTCAACTCCTTCACACGCCATCCTCTTGTAAAGATCCAAGGTCTCTACGGCATGGGCGTTCTTGGCATAGCCATGAAGCATCGCGTTCCAGGAAACAGTGTTCCTCTCCGGCATTGTCTCAAAGATCTTGCGTGATCGATCAAGGTGCCCAAACTGCGAAAATGCTGCAGCTATGGCGGTCCAGGATACTACGTCCTTGACAGGGATCGCGTGGAATGTCTGTAAAGTCTCCTCAAGCTGCCCATTTTGGGCATTTGCTGCCAGAACAAAGTTCCAGGCCAGTGGTTTCTCTGATGGCGAGGTTTTGAGAAGTGTTTGCGCTTCCTCCACGCTATTGTTTATAAGACACGCTTCTATCATCAAAGCCCACGACATTCCATTTCTCTCGCCCATGGAATCGAATATTTCGCGCGCTCTGTCTAAATTGCCCCTTTTCCCGCCATAGCACGCAAGCATGGCGTTCCAGGTGATCACGTTTCGATCCCTGGCCCCGTCAAATACTTCCCTGGCCTCTTTTAAATGCCCGCCACGCCCTAGCGCCGAGACGAGGATCGTCCAGGAGACGACGCTCCACGCCGGCATTGCGTGGAACAATCGCAGGGTTTCGTCCACCAGGCCTCGCTCGGCGTGCGCTTGCATCGCGCTGTTCCACGCCACGACGTCCAGCTCCGGGATCCGATCGAAGAAGCGCATTCCCTCCTCCAGCCGGTCGGATCGAAGGTACGCTTGGAGCATTGCGTTCCAGGAGAAGAGATCGCGGCAGGGCATGGCGTCGAACAGGGATTTCGCTTCTTGGAGCTGGCCATGCTCGGCAAAGGCCTCGATCGCCGTGTTCCAAGAAACCAGGTCCCGCGTTGGAGAGCTGTCGAAGAGGTTCTTGGCAGTGTGGAGATTTCCCGATCTGGCAGTGGCGGCGATCATGATATTCCAGGCGATCGCATCCTTCCCGGGCATAATCTCGAACAAGAACATCGCCTCGTCGATCTCCCAGCTGCTGGCGTGCGCGACGAGCATCGCGGTCCATGAAACCACATCTCTCCTCGGCATTCTCTTGAAGAGATCTCTCACTATCGCCAGATTTCCCTCCTCGGCATACGCCTGCGCCAAGATGTTCCAGGACACCTGATCCTTCTCCGGCATCGCGTCAAACAGTAAGCTCGCTCGATCCAGATCTCCAATCCGCGCGTAAGCCTCTAACATCGTGTTCCAGGTCACGACATCCCGCTGTGGCATCCGATCAAACATCCGCCGGCTCGCCTCCAAATGCCCGGATTTCGCGAGCGCTTCCACGATCACGGTCCCGGCAATCACCGCCTTGTATGGCATCCGAGCCAGCAGCGACTCCGCCTCCTGGATCATCTCCAACCTCGCGTAGGCCGCAATCATCGACGTCCACGACACCTCCGTGCGCTGTGGCATCCGATCAAACACGCCCCGAGCATCCTCAATATGCCCGTTTCGGGCATACACCTCGAGCAGGATGTTCCAGGAGAAAACGTTGGGCTCACGGATGGACTCAAACACTGCCACTGCCAGTTCCAAGTCATGGCACTTGCCATACATCTCCACCAGCAGGTTTCTCAGGTAGCGATTGTGGCTCTGCACACTCTGGTCGACGAGCTTGTGGATCCATTGTCCCTGTGCCAGAGTTCTAGCATCACGGATCGACCGAGCCAGCTGGGTAACTAGAGCTTCATCTCTGGAGGTACAAATTGTTATTAGCATTCACAGTGGTGACCGTGGGACGAAGGTGGCAACAAGGAAATTGGCAAAGTGGACCTTTTGCCTTTTGGGGTTGTGAAAAGGTTTTGGCATAGGAATGGCAACTTTGCAGGGGTCAGAAGAATGGCATTGGTTGAAAGGAAGTTTTGGATACACTAATGATATAGCAAGGATGAAAACCGACATTTCATAAAAGTTCACTATAAAAGAAGAAAATGCAATAACAGAAACAGAGAAATTTAGAATAAAAAAGAAAGCTAGATCTTGGGGTGGTTCGTGTTTAATCCACTAGCTCTTTGCTATGTCGGTGGATAGTAGGAATGAAGTTCATATGGTGGTGCTTCCATATCCTGCACTGGGCCATCTTCTTCCCTTGATCCATCTTGCAACAAAACTGGCTACAACAGGGATCATCGTCACACTGCTCAACGTGGACAGCATCCATGAAAACCTCTCCCGGCAGTGGAGGTGCCCGGATGGGATGGATATCAGACTGGAGCAAGTGCATTGTGATGTCTTCATTCCTTGTGGCATCGATGCCAAAGCATTGAAAGACACGGACGGGCTACTCGAGTCTTTGGAAAGGTTGCAAATCCCAGTAGAGGAGCTAGTGAGGGAGATGCAACCACCTCCATGCTGCATCATCTCCGACTATTTCATGCGTTGGGCGGTGGGAATCACAAAGAAACTTGGCCTCAAAGTCGTCACGTTTTGGCCTGGAAATGCTGCCTGGAGCTCCATCCACCACCACACTCAATTGCTCGTCTCCAGCGGTGACGCGTTCCAAGGTCAGAATTCTTTTTTCTTGCATGATTTTGATCGAGCAATCTAGGCCTCGACGAGAACAAGCTCATTCGCTACGTCCCAGGTCTCGACGCTTTCAGGTGCCGCCACCTCCCGAGCTACTTCCGGAGGAAGCTGGTAGGATTCATCCTCGAATTTTTCAGTGTCTCGGCAGACCGCATGAAGGACGCCGACTGGATCCTGGTGAACTCCATCTCGGAGCTGGAGACCCACGCCTTCGACGCGATGCAGGGAGCTCTGGCCAACAAGAACTTCGTGTCTGTGGGTCCGCTCTTCCCATGCCACACCAGCCCGCGGGTGAGCCTCCGCGACGAGAAGAGCGAGTGCCTGGAATGGCTCCACACCCAGGCCACAACCTCTGTGCTCTACATCTCGTTCGGGAGCTTGTGCCTGTTTCCCGAGCGCCAGATCGTGGAGCTCGCGGCCGGGCTGGAGGCGAGCAAGCAGCCATTCCTCTGGGCGGACGTCCGGCACGAGTTCGCCAGCAGCGAAGCTCTCCGGGGCTTCGCCGAGCGATCGAGGCCGAGGGGGATGGTGGTCTCTTGGGCGCCGCAGCTCCAGGTCCTGGCACACCACTCCATCGCCGGATTCCTCTCCCACTGCGGCTGGAACTCGGTCCTGGAGAGCATCTTCTATGGCGTGCCACTGCTGGGCTGGCCGTGCCACACCGAGCAGAGCATGAATTGCAAGCTCGTGGAGGACTGGAAGATCGGGCGGCGGCTCTCGGATGATCAGGACGTGGCGCGCGGGCGAGTGGAGGAGGTAATCCGGGATTTCTTGGAAGGGCAGGGCATGGGCGAGATCCGGGCCAGAATGGCGGCGCTCAGGAGCACGGTACGCTCCACGACCGACCAAGGGGGAACCTCTCACGAAAACCTCAAGAGATTCGCTGACGCGGTCAATGTGTCCGCCATAGCTGGCGCCACTTGGCATGGCAAGAGCCGCCCATGTGGCAGCCATAAGAACGACGCCACGTAGCCAAAGCCACGTGGCTGTTCGGTTTGTTTTAGTAACGTGGTTAATTAACTTTAACCATTATAGTGTTACACATAAAATTTTAATTTGCTAGTTTAACTCCAAGAGGTTTTGCGCAAAAAGGCGCTTGTGCACCCAATACACGATCAAATCCGCCGTGAGTTTCTTCTCGTCGATCAAGAATGGCTCCACGGTGCTGGGAGGTGATCCATAGGCAGACACCGAAAATCCTCTAGCACCTTTTTGTTCCAAAAGCTTTGAGTGTCGATTTTGAGTGCAAAATGGCAAAATCCATGCACGTACCTTCCAAGCTCGCGTCTGGGAAGTAGGCCCAGAATGTGTATGGAACGCCGAGCTTCGAGAAAGAGCCCCTTAACTGCAATTGCAAAGTGGTGATTGGCAAAGATATCGCGATGTCGAGTGGAGACGAACCTGGTCGTTCTCGAAGCAAACTTCTACGTCAGCAAGGTTCTCTTCCTTCGCCAGTTTTGCTTGGAGACGCGGAGCGACGTCTTCTACCATGAGAGCTGGATAAGTCTTGGCTGCGGGCTTCTTTGGCTTTGGCTTTGTTGCGGGCTTTTCCGGCTTTTCCTTTGCCGGAGGAGGAGGAGGAGCTTCCTTGCCTGTGTTTTGCGAGCACACGAATAAAAACGGATGAACTAGCACGAGACATGGAAGAACTTGTATCAAACCTGCGGCAGACTCCGCTACGATGAGCTCGTTGTTGAAGCCACCGGTACCATCGGATGCCGTCGGAGAGTCCGGCGAGTGCATCCACTGGCCATCCACGATGAACTTGTACTTGTATGATCCCGGAGCTAGCTTCTGGAAACAACACCCATGACAGTCTAATTGCAAGAACTTCGAAGTAGAACTTACTTGCTTGATCTGAAATGTACCATCCGGGCTCTTCTCAAGAGGGACTTGCTTTTGCCACTCGAGGAAGTCGCCGGTGAGCAGCACCTCGGAAGCTTGGCCCTTCCAAGAAAAGATTATATCCTGTGTCACCACTGTACGTGTCTTCCATCGCACGCACGCACTGGCATCAGCTGTATGATGGACCAAAATTTCCTCGCGAAGTTCTAGACTTACATGTGGAAGTGGAAGTGGAAGTGGATGGCCCGTCCGCTACGCTCGCACGCAGCGATTGTATGCTCCTCGCCTCCTTTCTTTCTGGCAAACCAAAGCCCTTCGAATGCCGCAGCTTGAATCTGAGTAGCGTGCAGCGGCACGGCCTGATGAGCTGCGTAGCCTCGTGCGGACTAGCAAAGTACGTCAATCTACTGCAAGCGGTGGCAGCCATAGCCACACGAGCTTCGAGGCTGGAGCTGGAGCTCCACCTCCACCTTTACGAGATAACTCTGCACTTCCAAGTGGCAACATGTTAGCCACACTCCCAAATCAGCATTTCAGTTTATTAACCTCGTCATTACCAGACTTGTACCCAATCCAGAGAACCAGGAAATCCATTTCAGCCAGTTAGTCACGTCGAAACAAAATTTCCTAGTTGCTGTGGTCCCCTCAAAATTTCCTGCCATTGATATGTGATGGTGCTTTGTTGCAAACTAGCAGCCAGCTTGTTTGCACGGTCACCACAGAGAAGCTTGAGGCTTACCTCTTGTGTGGGATTGCAGCATGAATCACAGTCGTAGCTAAAGTTCTAAACATCCAGCGCCAAAGGTACGCAAGCTTCTTCCCCTCCCAGAGTTTGACGAACTCTTCTTCCAGCCATGGGTGCTACACCACAAGATCAAACCGCACACGTTGTTCTCGTCCCATACCCGGCTCAGGGTCACATTCCACCGATGATCCATCTCGCCCGAAAGCTAGCTGCCAACGAGATCATCGTCACGCTGGTTAACGTGGACAGCGTCCACAAGATGCTCCTCAAGCAATGGAGCTGCCCACCGGGATCGGACATCCGGCTGGAGCAAGTCGAGTGCGGCCTCAAGCTCCCGGCCGGGGTGGACGCGTCGTGCCTCGAGAACCCGGAAGCTCTCTTCGACGCAGTTGACAGCCTCAAAGCTCCGGTGGAGGAGCTCGTACGTGAGCTCACGCCAACTCCTTGTTGCATCATTGCCGACTTCTTCCTTGGCTGGCCCCTCGAGCTGGCCAGGACGTTAGGCACCGGTTGCGCAATCTACTGGCCTGGAAACGCAGCATGGAGCTCACTCCACCACCATATGAAGCTGCTCGAGGCCCACGGCGATCTCTTCTGCCAAGGCAAGCCAAAGTTCTTGTCAGTAGTAGTCAACCAAGTTTGTGAAATCCATGCAGGAGAGAGGGAGGAGGACAGGATCATCACGTACATCCCTGGAGTTCCCGGTCTGGAGTACGGTGATCTTCCGGAGTACTTCAAGCGAAAGCTCGGGACCCCCAGTCGCCGGCTTCTCTTCGACTACGACCAGGATCGCATGAAGCACTGCGAGTGGATCCTCGTCAACAGCATGGCGGAGCTGGAGCCCGAGACGTTCCACGCGATGCAAGCGGCGCTGCCAGCCAGCAAGTTCGCGGCGATCGGGCCACTCTTCCCAGTCTCCCACCACGAATCGCCAGCAGCGCTCAAGGGAGTGAGCCTCCGAGACGAGGAGGATGGCTGCCTCAAGTGGCTCGACACGCGCGCCGAGAGCTCCGTGCTCTACGTCTCGTTCGGGAGCATCAGCGTTCTCTCGGAGGATACGTTCCAGGAGATCGCCGCGGGGCTGGAGGCTAGCGAGCAGGCGTTTCTCTGGGTGAATCGCGAGGATCTGGTGAAGAGGAGCGCCACTCACGACGAGTTCTACGCGGGGTTTCTGGAGAGGACGCGCGAGCAAGGAATGGTCGTGTCGTGGGCGCCGCAAGTCCGAGTGCTAGCGCACTCCTCCATCGGAGGATTTCTCTCGCACTGCGGCTGGAACTCGACGCTGGAGAGCATCTGCTATGGCGTGCCACTGCTGGGATGGCCGTGCCACTCGGAGCAAAGGACCAACGCCAAGCTGGTGGAAGAGGACTGGCGAGTGGGGAAGAGACTGTGGCGGCGAGGCGACGGCGGCACGGTGACCCGGGGTGTCGTGGAGCAGCGGATCACTGAATTCATGAGTGGAATGGACAAGGAGGAGATATGGGCGAGAGCGAAAGATCTCAAGAATGTGGCCCGCGCTACTGCCAATCCAGGCGGGAACTCCCACGAGAATCTGGCAGCGTTTGCGCGAGCAGTGAAGACGATGACGATGGGAGACTAACAGCGAAGCCTCTGCCACAGGGCATCTTCTCTGTCTGGGATAGCTCCTCTTTCCTCCATAAACCCTAATCTATGAGACATGAGCTTTATTTGTTTGCCCAGCTCGTGAGGAAGTGCCGTAATGCCAGGGATCTCTTGCAGGGCAAATGCGTCCACGCGCAAATCCTCGAGAGTGGGCTCATCCACGAGCGATTTCTTGCGAATCTCCTGGTTGAAATGTATGGCAAGTGCGGCAGCGTGGAGGAATCCAGAGCTGTGTTTGATGGGATCCAGGAGCCGAATCTTTTCTCCTGGACAAACATGCTTGCAGTGTATGCCCAAAGAGGGGATTTACAGAAATCGAGGGAGATTTTTGGTAGGATGCCTGAGAAGGATCGAGTCGCATGGAATGCGATGATACAAGCTTACGCTCGAAGCGGCTGTTTGGGAAAAGCCAAAGAGATGTTTGATATCATGGGCAATCGTAATGTTGTGTCGTGGACGACTGTTCTTGCAGCACTTGCCCAAGAAGGGAATTTTGAGCTTGCGAAAGACATGTTTGACCGAATGCCGCGGCGGGATTCCGTGTCATGCAACGCGATGATGGATGCTTGCTTACAAAGCCAAGATTTTGGAAGAGTTCGAGAGATGTTTTTTAGTCTGTTGGAAAAAGACACAGCATCTTGGACTACAATCTTAGCAGCAAATGCCCAAGTAGGCAATTTTGCTTTGTTGCTCCAGCTATTTCACAAGATGCCGCTACACAACGCTGTGGCTTGGACAATTCTTTTCCTCGCTTATGCTCACAATGGCGATCTTTGCATGGCCAGAAGAATCTTCTCTATGCTTCCGGAAAAGTCTCTTGTGGAGTGGAACGCTCTCATCCAAGCATATGCCCAAAACGGGCAGGCCAAGACCACGCTCGAGCTCTTTAGCTTCATGGCGATGGAGGGAATCGCCCCAAACTCCGTCACCTTTCTCACCCTCCTCGCCGCTTGCAATCACATCGGCCTCGTCGAGATTGGCCGCTGGTACTTCCTCTCGATGATCCAAGACCACCACCTCGTCCCCAGTCACCAGCACTTTTGCTGCATGATCGAGCTCCTTGGTCGATCCGGGAGGCTCCGCGAGGCGGAAGAATTCGCTGCTTCCATGCCCGCAGTGGAGATGGCGATGTCCAGATCGCTAGTTGGAGCTTGCAACTTAAATGGCGAGAGTGATCGTGGAGAACGCATTGCTAGACGAGCACTGGAGTGTGACCCCGAGAACGCTGCTCCTTATGTGATGCTTACCGGCGTCTATTCCCTGGAAGATGGTGAGAACTTCTCTCTGTAAAAATTGATCGATCACTTCTTGTTAATAAATAATGGATACATGGTACAAATGGTACACTATATACCTTCTTCAAGCTCTCTTCTCTAGAGGTGTGAAGAGCTTGTCGATGGATGATCGTGAAGAAAGACGGTGGAAGTCTCGATGGGCTGGGAGCTGTGCACTTCCAGCTCCAAATGATCCGGTGACGACTGGCTGAGGAGATCCTGCTGCTGCTGCTGGTTCTTTGTCCGGAGGAGATTTCTCGAAGACGACGAGAGGAGCGCCACTTCTCTCGAGCTCAAGTTCCTATGCCTCAGGCTGGATCGCGGGGACTCTTGCTGGCTCTCAGAAACTTCCACAATGTTTGGACTGCACTGTGACGGCGCAGTTCTTGTCTTTGTTTGCTGCTCAGCCGCTGCCTCGAAAGCAGAGATGACGAGCACGCTTCCACAGCGCTTGGCTTCATCGTAAGGAGTACGGCCCCATCTGTCAGTAGAAGCGTGAGTGATCGATTGCCTGCCAGAAGAGCGGACGTTCGAAAGTACCTGTCCTTGTAGAAGATGTTGGCCCCAGCATTGATAAGGAACTTGACAAACGAATTCAAGCCTTCGGCCGCAGCGACATGCAATGCGGTCCTTGAGTAATAATCTGCCGCATTTGGATCCACTCCATGGTTTATTAGACGCTTGAGGAGTTCTAAGTTGTTCTTTACCACCGCGCGGATGAGCATGTTTCCGGGGTAAGTTAAGTTGAGCCTGGCTCCCCTCTCCACAAGGATGCTTGCTGTGTAGTCGTGTCCACCTTTGATGGCTTCGAGCAACGGGCTGTTGCCTATATTATCTGCGCACCCAAATGATGGTTTAGATTGGAAGTACGCTGGACTGAGAAGAAAAATACCAAGAGCGTTTACGTCTGCTCCTTCTCTCAACAGCAACGAGACGATGTCGTCGTAGCCTTTAGAAGCTGCAAGGTGCTGCAAAACTTGATCCTGATGAGCACACAACAAAGAATCAGCGTAAATGATTTCTTACGAGAGGCGTTTTCCCAATGTAGTCGGACTTCACAGGATCTGCTCCCGTTCGTATCAGGCTGCGCAGATAATACAAGTCGCCTTGAAAAGCAGCGTTGTTCATTCTCAACGTCAGCTCTGACTGCTGGTGCCCCAGTTGCGATTGAATCTCGTCAGTGAGCTGACTTATTCGAAAGTCTCCCGTTTGTTGCTAAGAAACAGATAAAGGAAAACACCTGAGGAACATGCTTGGGGTTTTCGTACCTTGAGCAGATTGTTGAGAACTTGGCGACTGTCGACGGCATAGATTTGCATTATGTTTGTAAGCACATGCTTGTCCAGCCTTAGTAGCGCGCTCAGCTCCGACACACGGACAGTATACGGCTGAGGGATGTTGCAAAGCACAGCAACTTCCCCGAAAATGTTATGGTCCTCGACTGTAAAGACTTCCTCAGAGGCATCTTCTGCAACAGAAACAACTTCCTGAGAAGGAAGTTTTTAAAACGAGAAAAACTTGTTTAGTCAAAAAGCACAGGCCAGAAATCCAAAACCACTTGCCAGCAGTCCATGCGACACAATGTAGAGCCTATCTGCAGCACTCCCTTGCTCCATTATTATTTCTCCTGGCAAAAAGTATTCCTTGTGTACGTTGCTCACCTGCGTCAGTGGTGAACGAACAAAATCCTATCAGAATCCAAGAGTCAGAAGCGAAACAAACTTACAATCTGGTTGATAAACTCGTTTGAGCAGCTTTTAAAAAGTGGAACATCCGCAACCGTATCAAGGTACAGGGCCTGAGAGACCTGGAAGCTCACAGATTCTTTTTAGTATCAAACAAGTTGGTTTTGTTTTGACTACCTTGGCACGAATAGAAGCAGGGAATTCCTTCATCACTGTCCGTTCTGCAAGCTGCCCTTCAAACTCGAGCCGGACGTGAGCTTTCATTTGCTGCCTCAGGTCCCTTGGAAGGCTGTGCATGTTCATAAACTTGATAATCCCCGCCATCCGGTCCCGAAACTTCTCGGTGCTCGACCCTCTCACTATCAATCCCGTCATGTTTCCAATAAGATATGCTCCCAGGATCATGTCAAACGAAACAAAGATCATAACGAAAACCATCTCCCTGACGTTCACGGCATGAATATCTCCATAGCCTTGCGAAACAACGAATAATTAATCACGAAACTTTGCGACGATCAAGGAAAAGAATCCACGTACCAACAGTCGCCATGGTGAGAATCGCCCAGTAGAGCGCGGTCACGTAACGCTTCAAAAGATCAATCTCGTGGAAGTTGTGGTAGGAAAAATCGCCAAGCGTGAGGCTGCCGATCCAGGTGTAGGATTCCTGCGAGTGCGCCATGGTTGTTGCAAGGTAGTAGAAGATGCAAGCAGCCGTGTGCGTGCAGTAGAGCTCCACCGTTAGCAGTTTCGCAATCCTCGCCACAAAGTAGTGGACGCGAATGTCCTTCTCCAGCCTCTTGAAGAAACGCTCCACTTTGCGAACTCTATACAGCCGGATCCACAGCATGTATCGGATCTCCTCGTGTCTTCCACAAGCCTGAGAAAAAAACGAAGAAAAAAACGAGAAAACAAAGAAAAAAGTTTTGAGTGATCTTCGCGAAGAAATTCCTGGTGTGGTGTGTGGAGTGAGCCATTGGTTACCTTGTACAGTGCATCCCAGGGCAGGCACGCCAAGAAATCTGGGATGAGATCCGTCTTTCCATACCTGCCAAGCAATTCACCATCCAAGAACACTGGAAGGAAATATCTTTTTACCTCAAAGCGATCTTCTTGTGGTCCGTGATCGTCTTGTAGGTGTGGGAATCCTTGTAGGCCACGAAGAAATTGATGACAATGTCGGCCAGGAAGATCACCTGGACGACCATGTCGAAGACCCCGACGCGCCAGGGCAGGCCGCGAAAGAAGCCGAATTCCATGGGCGTGAAGAAGGAGGAATACGCCGCCGACACCAGGATGAAGGTCGTCCACCAGTGATGCCATCTGCGAGTCGCGCCCACTCAGTGAGTGATCCTTCCACCGATCGGTGTCGATCGATCGGGAGTGGAAGAAATATTTCCAAGAAAACGCTCTTACCGCGACTCGGGAAGAATGACATGGAGCCTTAGGGCTTTAAGCGCCGAGCTGCTGGCTTGCCATTCCCTGATGTATCGCGACACTCGCGATCGATTGCTCCCATTGCCCTCGTACCCCTCCCGCTCGAGCCTCGGTTCGTCCTCGTCCATGGGCGATACATTCCAATCGCCGGAGCTCCAGGATCACAAATTCCCCTCTTTGGAGGATCGACACTATTGATCGATCACAAGATCGTGAGCTTCTCGAGCGCGCCAAGCGCCGGATTCATGTGTGGCGCGCAAGTACGAGATCACGGGGAAAGCCTTCCAGCCCGTTTCAAGCGCTGCTTTGTCGCAAATTAAGTAGACAATGCCATGAAAGCTTAGCTGGACGCTGATGTGGCACGTGCGTGGAGCTTGCGTGGCACGGTCGTTATTAGCCGCGAGGTTAAGACTAAACAGGACTGTATCATTTGACTTCCCGTACCAATCATGCGCGAGGGAATCTACGGATCCAATGGACTTAGCGGACAGAATCTACTTGTGCTAGATATCTTAGTCGAGAATCTCGTGACAATTCGACACCCACTCTCTAATTTTTCCACTCGGCTGAAGTTGAGGTTGATCGATTAAGATAAACGGCTTGTCGATCCCTGCAAGGGCCAAAGCTTACAAAATCACGCCAATCATATGCCAATCGTGATCATGGTTTGAACATAGATGTTACAAACTACAAACCCAACTTTCAACTAACAACGATGTGTGATTCGTAGAAAGCATGAACTGAAAATCAAAATCGACAAGCTTTGTCCATGAATGCCACTTCGTATTTCATTAGAAACTCTAGAATGAATTATGTAAAGGTTATTAACTTATTTGTCGAATGATTAATAATATAGTATGTAGAATATACTTAAGATTTAATCATTTAAACATTCAAAGTGCACTAATTATTTATTTATTTATTTATTTATATGCATAGCTAGCTCCAAATTTACAGATACTTAGCTATAGCGAGCAACCTTGAGCTCAAGCTCTTAAGACTTCGGAATGATCACACGCAAAAACCCGTCGCTGCAAAGCACACGAGAGAGCATTTAGATCAGAGAGGAATTGAGCCAAAACTTTCTTACATAAACTCGGCAGTGGCTCCATTCAAGTTGGCATTCTTGGGCACACTCCACACCGAGCGGTAGGGGCCGTAGGAAATATCTCGCCGGTGATAAACCCTGCAGTCGCTCTCGGAACTCTGAGTGAAAGACTGGGAGCTCGACCACCACTCCCTGGAGCGAAATCCAGTCACTACAAGCCTGTCCATCCAGCGTTTGGAAAAACGATGAAATGAGAAAGAAGAAACTTAGAGAAGAGCATCACCTTCCACGGTCGATCTCCACTCGAATTCCTTCGGCGTTTACACCTGGTAGCTCCACCGTCACAATGTGCTCGGAGTCAGACTCCGTGACATCCATGCGAGGAGACCACTCAAAGCCTCGGATGGAAGTCTCGCGTTTTTCTTCTTCGTGCAAAAAAGGAGGAAGAGACCATTGCAACTTATGGATCGAGAAGAACCAGATGGAAGTACCTGAAGCCTCGGTAACAGGACGAGAGCTCTTGATTTGTGCCGCATGCTTGGACGCCGGCCTCGCAAAGAGTGGAGTTTCATCTTCACGAGACTTCACTACTTTGCTGTTGGAGAACTCCTCGTCTTCTTTTTTGGCACAGTCGCCACTGATTTTGCTAGTGTTCTTGGAAAGACTCGCTCGGCTCTCGCCATCCGGTATCACCTGAAGAAAGAAATTCACGGAATCATAGAACGGAAATGGAAACAAAGGAAGAACATCGCATTTTTTTCTACGTGCCTGTTTTAACTCGGCAGGTCGCATGAATTGTCCTCTTGCTTCGGCCCCTTGCCTCGCAAACATGAGCATGCTATCGCGACGATTTCCCGAAAATGCGGGGGTGGAGGAACACTCCTGCGAAGAAATTCCCAATTCCAATTTCCACATCCAATTCAGCCTAAACACTCACCGATCTAACGATCAAAGGGCCCGATTGGAGCCGCAACCCGTCCTCGAGATGGCACGCCAGGTGATACATCCTCGCGCGCGCCTTCTCATCGAGATCCATCTCAAATTTTCACCGCCAGAGGGATCGATCAGCGAGCTAGAGTGCTTACACCGGAGAGAAACCTAGCGAAGATCTTCCAGATATTTAGGGAAGATCATATGAGCCACGTGGAAGTGTTGTATTAACGCATGTTTAGGGTTCTTCGTCCATAAACCCTAGCTCGTCTTATCACAAAAAAATGAGGGGTTCACAAATAGATCCTCGCGGTCGCTCTTTGCCGGCGCGCATTGGCTCGAATTCCAGGACTCGACAACTCATCGCGAATGGCCTCTTGTCTCGGATCGCGCTGGCACTGCGGTAAGCTGATTCGCGGCATTGCGAGATTTTGATGGCGAGCGCAATGGCGTTTGGCTGGCCATACCAATGGCAGTCCGGAGGAGGAGGAGGAGGGGTGGATGTAGTCGTCTCTTCGCAGCAACATTCTCGCAGGCTCAGGATTTTCTCTCCGGCATTTAGAAAAGGAGCCGAATTGCTGGTCACCGAGGACCAGATTTCGCTGGAGAACACGTTTGTAGCACTGGAATCGTCACTGGAAGGCCTGGAAGTGCCTAGGCTCGGGGAAGCTCCCGTGGAGGCCGAGATAGCTTCCACGAGCTCAAATGGTTCCACTCAGGTGATCGAAGAAAAAACTCCCGAAAGAAGAAAGAAGAAGGAGTGGACTGGTCCGATCAGACCTCGCAAACACCCTCCACTTCCGCCATGGACGGAAGCACAGTGCCGAGAGAAGCAAACGGAGATTCTAAACGAGCTCCTCGCCAACGATCAGCTAGAGGGGGGCGGGCTTCCAGTGGCGACCATCCTCGATGGATGGCTGGGAAAAGTTTCCAGAGTGGACCTCGCCAACGTTATCAAGGATCTGGACGCTCAAGGCAAGCACGCACTGCTGCTCGAGGTGTTCTACTGGATGCAAAGATGCAAAGGAAGGCTGGTTCCAAAGGCACACCTTTGCAACATGGTGCTGGGCATTTTGAGCCGGGCTAGATTGATAGAGGACGCCGAGGAGCTCTTCCAGTGGATCAAGCTCCAGGACTGGGATAAGCTACGTCCATACAATGCGATGATAGCAGCATACTACCAGGCAAAGAGGCCCAAGGACGCCTGGGATGTTTACCACCAAATGCTCGCGGAAGGCATCGATCCAGACGAAGTTACTTACGACATTCTTGTAAGTGGAAGTGGAAAGAATGGCTATCCGATCGACAGGCTCTTCTTGGAGATCAAGTCTAGAGGGGTGGCGCTCACGTTACGATCATACAACGTCGTGATCTGCGCGTTCACGAAGGAAGGAAGCATTGACAAGGTGGAGGAAGTGATTCGCGAGATGATACGGCAAGAGCTCCGGCCGGATTTGTTCTCGTTCAACGCCTTGATCGCCGCATACGCCATGTCCAGGAAGCCGGAGAGGGGACTACAGGTTTTCAGCAACATGAAAGCCGCGGGTGTTCTTCCGGACATCGTGACTTACACCACGCTGATACAGATGTTTAGCCGGAGCTCCATGCACAAGGAAGCGATCGAAATGTTCGAGGAGATGGTGGTGAACAAGTGCCAGCCGGATTTCTTCGTCTACAGCCTGCTCGTCAGTGTCTACGGCAAAGCTGGTCTTGTGGCGGACGCTCTCCTGATATTCCACAGGCTTCAGCTGGAAGGACACAGGCCGAATATCGTCACCTACACGTCGCTAATCTCCGCGCATCTCCACAAAGGCTTGCTCGAGGAGTCACGCAAGCACTTCTCACAGATGGAAGCGTATGGATGCCGAGCCGACGTCCATCTTCTAAACACAATGATTGACGCGTATGCCAAGGCCGGGATGGTGAACGATGCTGCTAACTTGCTGCACAGACTCACGGCTCAGGGAGTCTGTCCGAACAGAGCCTCGTATGCCATTATCGTGGAGGGATTTCTTCATGCCGGACATGTGGAGGAGGCTCTTGCGGCATACGCATCGATGTCCGGGGCCGGTTTCAAGGATGAGAAGATGAGCTCCAGGATCTCCAGAAGAAGCAGTCCGAGGAGATGATATCATTTTTGACACAGGTACGAGCTTTTCTTTCTCTTTCTCTCATTTCTTGCGAGCATTTGCTCTAGGATAACTCTCGACTCAAGAGCCCTGCGAGTTTGTCTAGCTTGTTTGTACCACCAAAGCTTACCGGTAGACCGAATTTTGTTTGTTCATCGGAGACAAGAGTACTAACGCTAACACTTTCAGGTCGGTCGTCTGGGATTTACTCCCTGCTAAGGATATGGTCCAGTGACGATGTACATTGCCGGATTGTCGAGCCTATGGTGTGGTTTAAAAGCCGCTGGACGCACCGAAAGACTCTCCAGGTCTCTTTTCTTTTTTTCCTTCTTGTCAGGCTCCACAGCCACAGCGTTCTTTTCCTTTTGGAAAAAGATCTAACCTTTGCTACTACAGGTTTTGGCTTGCCAGAAGCTCCAGAAACATCGTCCTTTGAGAGCTCGTGCTTGTCAACCATGTAACGAGCTCGACAACGATCTAAACGTTTACATTATCTTGCAAGAATCGATTCAACGAGCGCTGTAGCCGGAGTTGTTTTCATTCCAGAGAAAGCACTCGATCGTTATCAATCATCCAGAGCCCAGATTAGCAACGAAACAGCGGCCAAACTATATATTATTTCCTGCCTGCTCTTTCGTCCACTCAGGCCCAATCCATCCACGTCTGGAACACTCTCGAATTTCAAACCTCACGTAAAGAAGCATAGAAAGATGAAGTACTGTCATCAAATATATGATTCTTAATGCTCGAGAAACCCGTCGTCTTGCACAGGGTGGTGGTAATTGCTTGCATCCCGGGAGAGGAGAAACAAAAACATTATCTTAGAGAGGTGGAGGGGAGGAGGGAGAGATTCATGTGTGTGTGCACAAAGACGACGTCGATCGATCCATTAAGCTTGCTCGGCTCGCGCGCTGGAGCTGGAGCTGGAGCTTCTAGAGCTCTAGGTTGGCTTGTAGACGATGAATCCCGCGCATTGCACTTGCCTGACCCTGTCGAATCCCAGCACTCGAATGTAGCTAGTGGGGAACTCCCTCCTGCACTCCTGGATCTCCCTCAACACCTGGGCGGAATCTTGGCAGCCAAACATGGGGAGCTTGTACATGGTCCAGTAGCGGCCATCGTAGCATCCCGGGCTCTTGTGGCATTCGCGGTACACGTATCCTTTCTGCAAAGAGAAAGAGAGACAGAGATTCGACCGAATCCTCGCGATTTCAGTGCTTGTTCTTGCCAAAAATCAATGGAGTTTGATGGCGAGAGGAGCTTACGTCGGAGAATTCCAGGCAGGGGAACCATCCCTTCCTCAACATGTAGTCGATCTCCTTGGCGATCTGGTCGGCTGAGAGATCCGGGAGGTACGACAGCGTCTCAAACCTGGGATTGTTGTAAGGCGTCCATGTCTGGGGAGGGGATCAAGGAGGAGGAGATCAGTTCTCTCTCTTGCTTGGGAATGTGGAGCGATTGATCGCGCGCGAGAGAGGCTACTCACCAGCATGCAGCTCACACGGCTCCCATTGGCGACGGTCTTCTGGCTCCATTGGAGTCCTCCCTTGTTGGCAGTGAGAGCCGTGGTGGCCTTGAGACCTGTGAATCCGGGGACCTTGGGAGCCACCGGGGTGGAGAGCGCGGCCATTGGGATCACGGCGGACGATGCTGCCCCCGTCACCATGGTGGATTAGAGGATTGGGAGCTCGAGATAGGGAGGGGGAGAGAGCAAAGCCAAGAGCAATGTAGGGCTCTTGGGAGATGGGTATAGATAAATACTTGGAGAGAGGGATGCCGCGAACCACACACGGGAATCCTCTCCAGGGCCAGATAGAAAGTGGAGGGAGAGGAGAGAAGGCTGGCGCGCCCACCGCAAGAGGACGATAAGACGCGCCAATGAACGCCACGTGGCGGGGTGCCTAGGCCGCATATTCAGGATATAGCTGAAGGCTGATCAAGTCCATGAAAGTTGACTAGGGCAGGCGTGGCACGGGACCTTGATTGACTTGGTCAGCGAGGGTCAGGGCAATCATGTTGACTTTGTTTGCACAGCAGGGCTGTTGTGTTGCCGCCCAACGCACATTATCACCCCCGGATTTAAAATCCTGAAGCTTGAGCCTGCTGGATCTATAGATAACGGAAGAAGGGGAAGAAAGATTGGACTATATCTCTACTGTTCTTTCGTGATCGATTCAACTCTCTCTACTTCTGTTCTTAATTTACTCCAATTGTGTTCTTTCGTGATCTTCAAATGGAGAGATCGAATTCTCGTCGGGCATTTGCTGCTCCTTTCATCGTCTTGGCAGTGGTGGTGATGGTGAGCTCGGCCTCGCAGGAGCCCAAGCGCCCATCGTCCGTGAGCTTCTACATGCACGACACGCTCCAGAACAAGACCCATCCATGGACGGACACGGCGGTGGAGGTGGCCGGACCACACCACAACCTCACGGGCCTCGGCTTTGGCAAGATCATCGTCTTCAACGATTCACTCACGGATGGGCCGTCGCTGGCGAGCTCCAAGATCGTGGGAAAGGGTCAGGGCGTCTACATTTACGACCACACCCAGGCCGGGGTGGCGTTCAACGCTCTGCTCCTCTTCTCGGCGCTCATCGAGACGGGCGAGTACAACGGGACGATCAACTTCATGGGCGCGGACGTAATCTTGGCGCCATCGCGGGATATCAGCGTCGTGGGCGGGACGGGCGACTTTGAGATGGCTCGCGGCATCGCCACGATCACGACGCACTCGATCGATGGGGACACTTTCATCGTCCTGTTCAAGATCAAGCTCATCTACTGGTAAGCGATTTGTTTGTACTAATCAAGTTTGGGTGTTTTCTGGTTGTACGAAAGTTACATTCTCAAAACAATTTTTTCTTCCTTCTGGAGAGTTCTAATAAGAAACGCTAGATTTTTTAACCTTGCGTCTCCACCTACAGCATAGATGATGGCGAGCGTGCACGCTCACTCTTTTTCTTAAAAGTCAAGCTTTTACGTCAGTGTGAGCGAAGCTCAAGTGATAACCAGTGTGAGCAAAGATCCATGATAGCGCATTTATCCAAGAACGAGCAAACCGGACACTCACTTAAAATCCAAGCAAAGCCAAGCGATCACCCATCCATGTAACAGCTACAAATTTTCCACCAAAGTTATTATCAAGTGTTACAACCATAGGAGAGGAAGACCTGTGCTTTAGCGCCGGCGTGAGGATCTACACGCCAAGCAAACACACGCCTCCATATAGCCATAGTAATCTTTCAATTCCATGAGCGATCTTCTCCTTAGTTCTTGCCGCAAGTGCACACGCCCGTCTGTGCGCACTTGTCGCAGGTATCGGTACCCACGGTGCGGTTCTTGCCGCAAGTGCAAACCCCGGTTTGAGCGCACTTGTCGCAAGTGTCCACGCCCTCCACGCGGTTCTTCCCGCAGGTGCAAACCCCGGTTTGGGCGCACTTGTCACAGGTTGCCACTCCAACCGGGGCGGCAAAGTTCGCACCGCTGCGAGAGCAAATCACCTTTTCAGTGAGGGATGCATGGAGAGATTCGCGAGAGTTTCACCTGAAGTCTCCGGCGGTGCTCAGGAACGCAGCATCAGCGATCCTCTTGCCGCATCTGCAAGTCACAGCTCGAGTTAATTCGATTGCCCTTTTAAGAAACTCTGTTTGTGATTGTGACTAGAAGTCCTGGAATGGAACAGGAGTAACAAGGATGTGATCCGAGAGAGCGAGAGAAACAAGAGCTAGAAAACAAAAGGTTCCTCTCAATCGAGGAAGAAGTTTGACAAGAATGAGACGTCAATCACTTACGAGCAGCTGGCCTTGCAGCCACACTTCGGGCAGCAGTTGCATGATCCGCAAGACATTTTCGATCGATAGGGAGGATTGAACTTCTTGCGCTTCCAAATCAGACACTCACTACGAGCTCGGCTATGGCTTCCGGCCTAGAGCCCTCTCTAACAAGTTATAGTCGCTGTCTTGGGGCCACGAGATCCCCAGTCCCAAGAACCAGTCACGATCTGCCACGTATTTTTATTCGTCGGGCTCCACCCGAGGTGATTTTTCTTGTCACAGACTGAAATAATGCATCGATTTTTTTCTCGGCTATGGAATTGATCGATCAAAAGGTTACAAACTTTGATAGCTAGCTAGCTTCACTCACTACTGCCACCACCGCCACCATCCTTACAACAACAAAAATGACTGTATGATTTTGCTGGCTGGAGTGTAGATGTACTCTTCTTTTTAAAAAGGTTCCTGTGCATACGGATGCCAACTTTGAATGATTCGCAGCAAACGAGAGGAAGAGAAATCAAGAGAAAAAAGAGGAACAAGCCCTACAAAGAAGGGATGATCTTAAGCACAAAAACCATAGAACACACAAATTCTCATCCAGGCAGGCACCATATCCGATCGAATTGCGTCCTTTTTCCGTCCTGGCTAAAGTCCTGTCAACCACGACAAGATTGACAGCGACACTGGAGTGTAGCCGCAAGTAGTGCTGATTGCTTTGACTAGTCTAGAAGAGTCAGCATCTGTTGACAACCACTGACTTGGTCAACGACTGGTTTTGCTCTATGTACAGATTCGACAGCAGGAAGTATGGAGCCTGGGAGGCCGGATCCAGCAGGAGCGCTTGGGCGGCGGCCGTGGCGCCCTTTCCAACGTCTCCCTGAGTCTTGGAAGAACCCAGCAGAGTTGTCCAAGCGGACAAATCCGGGACGAATGGCATTGTGTTCATGAGTTCCTCCGCTTGCTCCAGGTGCGCTCCTCGTGCCAGCACGTCGATCATGCAGTAGTAGTGCTCCGGCAAGGGATTCCCCAGCATTCCAAAGTGGTCTCTGGCTTGATCCACGAGACCCGCGCGGCTGCAAGCAGTGAGAATCCCCAGAGTTGTCACAGCGTCGGGAGCAAAGCCTTGGAGCTCCATAAGTCTGTAGTGATGGATCGCGAGCTCGCCATGGCCTGTGTTGGCGTAAGCGTGGACCATGGCTGTCCAAGACAAGGAGCTCCGGCTGTGCGGTGCGAGCTCGTCAAAGAGCGCTCGAGCTTCATGAAGATCCCCAGCCCGGGCATACCCAGCGATCATTACGTTCCAGGACACAACGTTTTGCAGCGGCATCACTTGAAACAAATGTCTTGCTTCCCGCATATTCCCGCTATGGACGTAGGCAGTGACCATGCATGTCCACGAAAAGATGTCATGCTGGGGCATCTTTTGAAACGCTACTACTGACTGCTGCAAATTTCCACTTGCGACAAATGCTTGAATCGTCGCGTTCCATGATAGCGAGTTTCGTCTTGGCATCTTGGTGAAGGTTTCAATCGCGTCCTCTGCAGCGCCAACTTGGGAAAAAGCCGCAATGATAGCGTTCCAGGACGTGAGATTTCTCGCTGGCATGGAATCAAACAGAGCTCTCACTTTGAGCAAATCCCCGCCATTAGCATAAGCCGTGACCATGGCGTTCCACGCCACAGCGTCTTTGCCGGGCATGCTCACAAACAGGCTCTCGGCCTCGCGGGGCTGGGCATTGTCACTGTAGACCTGGAGCATGACGGTCCAGGCAACTACGTCGCGCTCAGGAATTCGATCAAAAACACGCCTTGCAGCATCCACTGAAACGCAGCTCGCGTGAACGATGATCATCGCTGTCCATGAGACTGCGTCTGTGTGTGGGATCTTTGCAAACATGAGCAGAAATTCTTCTAGCTTGGCGTGATCAGCGTATGCCTGAAGCATCGTGTTCCACGACACGAGATCTTGCCCGGGCATTTCGTCAAACACGCGCTTGGATTCTGAGAGATGCCCGGTTTGGGCATACACTGTCACCATTGCGTTCCAAGACACCATGTTTGGATTTGGAATCCGATCAAACATTTCCTTAGATGCATCAACGTCGAGCCTCAAAACGTAAGCGCCCAGCATCATATTCCACGATACAAGATCCTTGTCTGGCATCAGCTCAAACAGTTTCCGAGCTTCGTCGATATACCCGTTTTGGGCATAGGCTGATACAATCATCGTCCACGAGAAGACATTGGGATTGCTCAGGCGATCAAACTCCACTCTTGCGTCCTCCACACTTCCACATTTTCCATACATCTCAATCACCAGGTTCGCGAGATACAGGTTTCTCTTGTAGATGCTGTCTTGAATCCAGGCGTGCGCTTGCTTCCCACGCTCCAAGTTGTGCGAATCTCCGCATGATCGAAGCAACAATGCGTAGAAGGCGACACTGCCCTCGAGAGCTTGCGAGCCCGTCTTCCTTTTCCTGGATTGCTGTCTAAACGCTCTGCCCAGAAGCTCTCTAAACATCAATCAAAAAGTAGTAAAAGAACAACATTGGAGCATTTGACAAATGCAGGGACGTGATCTTTGACAAGCAGGCAAGATGAAGTCTCGGCTGGAGGCTTGGAGTATAGGCCAAGGGAGTTGGGGTGCTGGAACCACGACCCCTTTCATGCTCTTCTCTAGGAGAGGAGAAAACCATGATAAAGTTGCACCATCGAGCAAGAAGAGTAGAAATTACACGAATAAGAAGATAGTGTTTTGGGATCAATTGTAATTGGTAGGTAGCTCTTCTAATAATTGTCTAAATCAAAAATTATATATACCAGTAATGTAATCTTTCCTGCTTACTTTTGACAAAAGATCATAGACATTGTTAACAAGTAAATGTTCCTCCATTAATACATGGCAACACCAACTGAAGCATGAAGGGCAAGGGATGAAGCCCGAGATTGGATGATGAAGGGCCATGATTGTCACCATATTTGAACCCATTGGTTTTGGGGGTTCTATAAGACTTTGTAAACAGTATATAGTATATGAATGAATGAATGAATATTACTTTGTCTCGAAAGCACTTTAAGCTGAATAGCATTTTACTATTAAAGTAATGCCTTTCACAGCTTTAGAATACCTGTCACAACTTGCCTCAAAACTATAAAAACCATAAGTAATTTATACATATATAACAACATACTTCATTCAAAGCCACTACACCAAAAACAAAAATAATAACAAGCTGTAAGAAATTCATTCAATAGAATGGATGATGAAGTTAAATATGATTATTTTGTTAAAAAAATCATACAATATCTAAAATAAATTGTGATGCATTGCATGTAGCAATATTTGGTTTGCTTAATAGTAATGTTATTCTTACTTATTAATCCAATTGATCAAAAAAGGGTTATAATTATAAGCATGTTTATAATTTATAAACACAAGATTAATCTTATTGCATATCAACCACTAGATGATAGAATAAAAAAGAATATATTATAAATTATAAATACAAGATTAATCTAAATGAATAACAACCGTTAGATGGTAGAATATCCTAGAATATCCAAGAATATTCTAGGTATATCCATTACCATCTTACAGGTTTGCTTAAGCAAACTAAAAGTCAAACATTTATCAATATTAAAAAAATTTAGAATACTAGAACTATTTTAATTAATTTAAGATATTTGTTATTGCTTGTTTTGTTTAATTGTAGTGTTATTCATGTTTAGTATTATTTATTAATTCAAGTGATCAATCAGAATATATTATTATAAACATATTTATAATTTATAACGATTAACACGAAAAAACTATAAATTTTATGAATTATAAAAATCTTTATAAATTATAATTACAAATATGGTAGAATATCCTAAAATATCCAAGAATATTCTAGACATTTCAATCATAAGAATATAGTTTTTGAAAGTTAGAGTTAGTATGTCTAATATGAGATTCATTAAAGTAGCATAAATAGTTTTTAAAAATTAAAAACTTGTAATTTAATCTGAGGGCTAACAAAACCCTATTATTTATAATTGTAGTTTACAGTGCTCACGGTTTAATGACTACATAGTAATTATGTTTTCTCGTTATTCTGAAAATAATATTATATGGTAATTGGTTTATACTTTAATTCATTCGTGATATATATCAAAAGCTAAAGAAAAATACGACAATTATTTTTTAAAATTGACAGATTACAATGAGCTGGATTTAGGTTTTTCAGTCAATACTTAGCTTATTACGCAATGGCATGATTTGAGCAAATATGTATCTCTTAATTCCTGCTTGTATATTTCTCTATGGGATTTTCATTTGCTTCAATAGTGATTGTACTACAGTTTTCTCCTGTGATAGGTTTTGGATCTATGGCCACAATCAGTTCTATGTGGACTGGCTTTCCTTACATAGATGTAGGTGATTATGCCATTTGTGTTTTACAAGCAAATTCCTTACAACCAATATACTTGGGAAAATTTAGATCGCCAGTAGGAGTACCTAAAGACAAGAAGCTCTTGGCTATTTCAGGAGGATCTGGGTTTGTATGTGGGCTGCTTTATGGTTCACAGTTTCCAATATGCTGGGGTGACATAGAATTGCCACAGTCTCTAGAAAACATAAGCTTTACAAGCTTGAATTGTGGCAGGAGCCACTGTTGTGCGATCCAGAGTGACGACAGTAAAATCAACTGCTGGGGTATATTCATCTACAAATCTCCAGACCAGCCATTCGTGTCAGTCTCATCGGGAATAGATTTTTCCTGTGGCCTGACCCAAGATGGAAATATTACTTGTTGGGGTCATCTCTCTGATGCTATACCACAACCAGATCGAGGCAATGGAACCTTTGTATCTCTATTCGCGGGAGGTTACTCCATATGTGGGATAGAGAGCTCCACAAGGGATATACTTTGCTGGGGGGAAGATGCTTCTTACACTTATGCTCCATCTGTTTTTCAATTCTCTAGCGTAACCGGAGGACGCTATCATATGTGTGGCATTAGAGCGGATAATCACCAAGTGGTGTGCTGGGGACAAAACAATGTTTATCAGCTTAGAGCTCCAAAGAATGTCTCATTCACAGCCATTTCAGCTGGCGACTTTTATACTTGTGGTTTGACGCGGGATGGGCGTGTAGAACTTCTTTGCTGGGGAGGATACAAGGAAGAGTATTGGGAAGTTAACATCACTGGCATTCATGTTAGTCAGGCAATATGCTCAAGCCGGTGTCGCAAGGATCAATACCAGACTTCTAAGTATGGGTGTCCATCGCTAACAGATCGGGTGTGCTTGGAGTGTTCAGTGTGTACTGGTGATGATATTGAGCTTGTTCCGTGTGGGATCAACACTGATCGTGTGTGTGGGAAGCCATCTTTGGCTTCTCATCAAGGGGATATTAAGAACCAGAGGAAACTCTTCCTTGTGCTGTTGTATTTGATCATCACGTTGTCTTTTGGGCTCATTGTCATGGCTACGTTTTCGTATTTTACTTATATGAAGAAGAGGAAGCTAGAAACACTTGCTAACATTGTGAGCTTTTCCAGGAGCGACATACTTTATTTCTCCTCGGCAGAGCTGAGAGAGGCGACCAACAACTATAGCGATGAAATGGTTTTGAGCAAGAGTGCTTCTGGAAATGTTTACAAAGGACTGCTCCAAAATGGTCAGGAGGTTGCTATCAAGCAAGCCAAGCTGTTTAACAGGTAGTTGAAACTTCTAAACTCCGTGTATGCCTCTCACTGATGAAAACAGGTCGGAGAAAATGTTTGAGAAGGAACTGCATCTTCTCGGGAGAGCTCACCACTCATGCCTGGTGAATTTGATTGGATACTGTGAGGTGGACAAGCTTTTGGTCTTTGAGTTCATGCCCAGAGGAACTCTTTCTCAAAATATATATACCAACACGCCACCATTGGACTGGGTAAGCCGGATAAGAATCACTGAACAGGCTGCCCGAGGCCTTGAATATCTTCACAGGTATGCATCACCAAGCATCATTCACAGGGACGTGAAATCATCGAACATCCTTCTCGACTACAACTGGAATGCTCACGTCTCGAATTTTGGCCTTTGCTCGCTTGAAGAAACTCAAGCCAGTGGAACAACCATCACAACACCCGGTTACTTGGATCCCGAGTATGGTTCCTCTCTCCGCCTCACAGCCAAGAGCGATGTTTACAGCTTTGGAGTGGTTCTTCTAGAGTTACTCTCCGGTGAGAAGCCGATTGATTCTTCGAGAAATATCCAGGACTTGGCAGCTTGGGTGCTTGATCTCGTCGGACGTGGCGAGTGGAACTCCGTGCTAGATCAAAAGTTGGCACTGCCTCCACAGCCGGAGCCTTTATACAATGCAGTGAAACTTAGTTTGGAGTGTACCAAGGTCAGAGGCAAGGATAGGCCAACTATGAGTGAGGTTGCTCAGAGGCTAGAAGAAATATTGGAAATGATTCTAGTACCTTCTTCCTTGAGTTCCATTGCAAATACAACGGTGTCTCTCGTTTAACAAATGGTAATCATATGGTATCTTTGTCTACCGAGAGATTTTTCACCAGCACTGGTTTTCCCGGTCTGGTCAACTGACACGAAGTCAACTCATTCGTCGACTAGTCAACGCAAGTAATACCACGCTAGACAACAGCAAGTATGGTTGACACTTATCTCGCAGCTGGCGTCGCGTCCCCGTGGATCTTGGAAGCCCAGCACATTGTCACACGGCACGAGGACGTCCCCAGCGTGATCATGCAGCAATAGTGTTCAATTGATCTGTCCGGCTTCACCGATTGAAACTGGCCCTGGCTCTCGTCCAGTAGCCCCATACTTGACCACGCCCAGCATTGTCGTAGAATTGGCCTCCAATCACTCCTCATCGGAAGACTTCAGCCAGATTCTTGATGTTCTCATGGTGTTTCATCTCACGATATTGCGTTCCGGCATTTCATCGAAGAGTCTCCGGCCAATCCACAGATGGCCTGTCTGAGCATAACAATAGCTGTTCAGAAGAGCGTTGAACACTTCTCAAGGTCGCCACCAAATATAAACCACGCGTCATTGAGAAACTTACCTCGCTTCTTCACAAGATGACACTAGTGCGCGAGAAGCGTGATCTAGCATTGATTTATCCGTTGATGCGGCGATCTCAACCATAGCTGGCAGCCGCTGGCCAGAGCGCTCCTAGAGGAATGGCCCAGAAAAAACGTCACCCCGGCCAGAGGAAGCGCTGGCGGCATGGCGGTAATTTTTAACCTTTTTAACGTTTTCTTCACATATTTATTAGAATAAAAGTATTGGGTCTGTTAAAGGTTTTTCAGCCAATTTCACAAGAACTGCCATTTGGTGTATGCGTCTCTAACTAAGATTTCATTTGTTTCATTAGTAACTTTGCTCCATTTTTCTCCTGTGATAGGTTTTGGATCTATGGCCACAATCAGTTTCATATGTGTTTCACAAGCCAAGTCCTTACAGCCAATCTGCTTAGGAAAATATATACCACTAATGGCAATACCTCCGGACAAGAAGCTCTTGGTTACCTCCGGAAGATCTGGATTTATATGTGGGCTGCTCTGTGGTTTATAGATTCCAATAAAACGGAATAACCACCTACTCTAGAAAACGGGAGCTCTACAAGCTTGAATTGTTGCAAGAGCCACTGTTGTGAGACCCCGAGCGACGACAGTAAATCAACTGCTGGGGGCTGTTGACCTATGAGTGACCAGCCATTCGAGTCAGTCTCATCGGGAATAGATTGTTCCTGTGGCCTGACCCAAGATGGGAAGATAACTTGTTGAGGCCATCTGTCTCCTATACCACAACCAGATCGTGACAATGGAGCCTTCGTATCTCTGTTCGCGGGAGGCTACTCCATATGTGGGATAACAAGTTCCACAAGATATATACTTTGCTGGGGAATAGATGCTTCGTACACTTACGCTCCATCTGTTCTTAGATTCTCGAGCGTATCTGGAGGATGCTACCATATGTGTGGCATACGAGCGGATAGTCACCAGGTGGAGTGGACAAAACAATGTTTATCAGCTCAAAGCTCCAAAAAATGTCTCCTTTGCAGCCATTTCAGCTGGGCGACTATTATACCTGTGGTTGACGCGGGATGGGCGTTTAGGAGTTCTTGGGAGGATACAAGCAAGTATTGGGAAGTTAAGTCGGTGTCGCAAGGATCAATACCAGACTTCTAAGTATGGGTGTCCATCGCTAACAGATGGGGTGTGCTTGGAGTGTTCAGTGTGTACTGGTGATGATATTGAGCTTGTTCCGTGTGGGATCGAAACTGATCGTGGGTGTGGGAAGCCATCTTTGGCTTCTCATCAAGGTTAAGAACCAGAGAAAACTATCCCTTATGCTATTGTGTGTGATCATCACGTTAATAATGTTGCGTTTGGGCTCATGGTCATGGCTACTTTTTGTTTTACATACATGAAAAAGAGGAAGCTAGAAATGCTTGCTAACATTGAGAACGTAGGAACGACATACTGTATATCTCCTCAGCAGAGCTGAGAGAGGCAACTAGCAACTAACAACTACAGCGATGAAATGCTTTTAAGCAAGGGTGCTGGAATGCTCCAGAATGGTCAGGAGGTTGCTATCAAGCAAGCGAAGCTGTCTAACAGGTACTTGATTAAACTCAATGTTGATCTCTCCCTGATGAAACCAATTTATCAGGTCAGAGAAAATGTTTAAGAATGAACTGCAGATCCTCGCGAGAGCTCACCACTCATGCCTGGTGAACTGGATTGGATACTGTGAGGTGGACAGCTTTGAGTTCATGCCCAAAGAAACTCTTTCTCAAAATATATAAACCAAAACGCCACCATTGGACTGATAAGAACCGCTGAACAGGCAGCTCGATCTTCACAGGTATGCATCACCAAGCATCATTCACAGGGACGTGAAATCATCAAACATCCTTCTCGACATGACTCGAACTTTGGCCTTCGCTCACTCGAAGAAACTGAAGCCAGTGGAACAACCAGCACAATCGCTGGCACACCCGGTTACTTGGATCCCGAGTATGGTTCCTCTCTCCGCCTCACAGCCAAGAGCGATGTTTACAGCTTTGGAGTGGTTCTTCTAGAGTTACTCTCCCGCAAGAAGCCGATTCTTCGAGAGATATGACAGTGCCTCACAGCTGGAGCCTTTATACGATGCAGTGAAACTTAGTTTGGAGTGTACCTAGGCCAACTATGAGCGACGTTGCTAAGAGGCTAGAAGAGATATTGGAAGTGATGCTGGTCACTCCTTCCTTGAGTTCCACTGCAACTACAATGGTGTCCCTTGTGCAAGTAGGGAGTTTTTGGAGATTGGATTGTTAGCAAAGTCTGGTCAACTCACGACTGGTCAACGTCAGTCAAGACCCTGTCTTGGTTTGTATCATGCTAGACAACAGCAAGTACGGAGAAGAGTTTCTTGGGATCAACCCAGACGCTTGTCTCGCAGCTCTCTCCCCAGGCGTCGCATCGCCGTGGATCTTGGAGCAGCCAAGCAGCGACGTCCACATTGTCACATCCGGCTGGAATGGCATTGTATCCACGAGCTCCTCAGCATCCCGGATTTTGCCCGACGTCCCTAGCAGCGTGATCATGCAGCAATAGTGCTCGGACCCCGGCTCGATCGATCTGTCCGGCTTCATCGATAGAAACTGGCTTTGGCTCTCGTCCAGCAGCCCCATATGGCAGCACGCCGTGAGTACGCCAAGCATTGTCGTGGGATTGGGCTCTAGTCCCTCTTGGTCAATCTTTCGGAAGAGCTCCAGCGAGATTCTTGACTTTCGATTCTCGGCGTAGGCGTAGATCATGGTGTTCCAAGTCACGATATTGCGTTCTGGCATTTCATCGAAGAGCCTCTGCCCAATCCACAAATGACCAGTCTGAGCATATGCTGCAACAACCGCTGTCCAGGAAACGATGTTTCGATCAGGCATTGCGTCAAAGACTTCTCTCGCCTGATCAAGCTCGCCACAGAACACAAATCCAGTGATCATTGTGTTAAACGCCACCAGACTCTTCTCTGGCATTCCATTGAAGAACTTCTTCGCTTCTTCAATATGCCCATTCTGGGCATAAGATGACATTAGTGCCGTCCATGCCACTATGTCTCTCTCTGGCATCTTCTCAAACAGGCGTTTACATTCCTCTAGCTGCCCGTACTCTGCGTACGACACGATCATAGTCGTCCACGTCACGATGTTTTTGAACGGCATCGCGTCGAAAGCATCTCTAGCCCGTGAGAGATGCCCGGCTTGGGCATATGCTTGGACAATGGAGGTTGAGGTTATAACGCTCGCCTCTGGCGCCTTCTCAAACATCGTCACGGCATCATGGAGCTCCCCAAGGTTGGCATAAGCGGTGATCATCGTCGCCCACGAGATTAGATCGCGCTGGGGCATCCGATCGAACACCTCCTTCGCATCGGCCAATCGCCCACCAAGAGCAAACGCCTGGATCATCGAGTTCCAGGTGACAATGTCTCGGTCGGGCATTGTCTCGAAGAGATCTCTCGCGTTTTCCAGGTATCCATTCTCCGCGAGAGCCGTGATCACGGTGTTGCAAGTCACAACCGAGTGCTCGGGCATCCGAGCGAACAGGGCCTTGGCCGCTTGCAAATGCCCGTTTTGGACGCTCGCGTTGAGGATGATCCCCCAGGAGAACTCGTTCGGGGATTCGATGGCGTCGAAGACGCGGCGCGCGGATTCGATGCTGCCACACTTGCCATACATCTCGATGAGGAGATTGTTGAGGTAGAGGCTGCTCTTGTGCTTGGTCGCGAGGATCTTGTCGTGGGCTCGCCGGGCCGCTGCCAAATCCCTGGAAGCCCCACACGATCGGATGATCCGAGCGTAGAGCGCGAGATCTGTGAGATCCAAGGGGTCTGTGACGCCCGTGAACTCGAGGTTGTAGTTCCCGGGAGGCATTCGCACGCCCACCGCCATTGGAGCATGGTTTAGGGCAAAGTGTTGTCTGATGTGGCGCGTACTTGTAAAACTGAGTTGACGTGGAATTCCAGTTTAGTGACGTGGATCAAGGAAGTTTGCCACATGGAATGCTAATTGGGCGCCAATGTGGCGCCCATGTTTTAGGGTTCTTGAGAATGTGGATTTCTTCGCGAGGGCGGTGCGGCTGTGTGGCGATGTTAGGGATTTCCTCCAGGCGCAATGGCTGCATCGTCGGATTCTCCAGAGCGGCCAGATCAAGAACAGGTATCTCGCGAATCTGGTGGTGGAGATGTATGGCAAACTTGGCATGGTGGAAGAAGCGCGCGGCGTCTTCGACGCAATCGTGCAGCCGAATCTCTTCTCCTGGACGATCATCTTGAATGCCTACGCCCAGAACGGATTCGTGGAGGCAGCGCGAGAGATTTTCCGGGAGATGCCGCAGAGGGATGTGGTGGCGTGGAACGCGATCGTCCAGGCGCATGTTCTTGACGGGAATCTGGGCGATGCGCGGCGGCTGTTTGATCTGATGGAGAGGAGGGATGCCGTGTCCTGGACGATCATGCTTGCGGCATACTCGGAGCTGCGTGACGCTAGTAAATCCGAAGAGATCTTCGAGAGGATGCCGGAGTGGACGAGATCATCCACGAATGCGATGCTTGCAGCATATGCCCAGACTGGGCATTCCAGAGAAGCGAGGAGCTTCTTTATAGCTATGCCTGAGAAGGACGCTATCTCCTGGGACACGCTCCTCTCGGCGTATGCTTACGATCGATACTGGAGGGCGGTGCTCGCGACTTTCGATCGCATGCCACAGCACTGCGAGTTTTCGTGCTCGCTATTGATCGGGGCCTTCGCGCAGACGAAACGAATCGAGGAGGCGCGAGGCCTCTTTGATCGCATTCCTGCGAAGAGCGTGGTGATCGAGAGCGCGATGCTGGACGTCTATGCCCAGAGTGGGAACCTGGAGGAAGCGAAGATCTTCTTCGATGGAATGACGCAGAGGAATGTGGTGTCCTGGAACACCGTCTCTGGAGCGTATGCCCAGTTCGGGTATATGGATCTGGCAAAGGTGGTGTTTGAGAAAATCCCAGCTTGGAGCATCGTTTCCTGGAACGTTTTTCTGCAAGGATTCTCCTCGGCTGGAAAACTCGACGAGGCCATGGAAGTTTTCGAGACCATGCCGCAACGCAACGCTCTTTCGTGGGTTGGCGCGATCATGGCCTATGCGCAGCTCGGGCATATCAAGAGGGCGATGCAAGCTTTCGAGGCAATGCCGCTCCAAAACATGGTTTCGTGGATGATCATGGTGGTGGCCTACGCCGAGAAGGGACACATATCCGAGGCGAGGAGATTGTTCCAGACGGTTCCTCGGCAGGAGAGCCTCTCCTGGAGCTTCGTGGTGGTGGCTTACTCGTTCATCGGAGCTGGAAGGGAGGCTCTCGAGGAGTTTTACAGGGTCGATCTGGAAGGGATCAAGCTTGACAGCGTGATGTTCTGCCGGATCCTCCACGCTTGCTCCCACACGGGGCTCGTGGACGAGGCACTCTACTTCTTTAGTGTCATGGTGGAGCGTGGAGTGGCAGTGGAACAGGAGCACTACAACTGCATTGTGGATATCTTGGGACGAGCAGGAAGGCTGGAGGAGGCTGAGGAGGTGCTAAACAGCTTGCCTTCCCTGGCTCCACACCTAGCGGGATGGCAGAGCTTGCTGAGCTCTTGTAAGATCCAAGCCGATGCCAGGCGTGGAGCTAGAGCTGCGCTGCGTGTGATCCAGTCCAGTCCCGGCTGCTCGTCTGGATACTCGCTTCTCGCAAACGTTCTCAAGTTTTCTTCCAGTTAAGGCGCGGTTCCTTCTTCCTTCTTGGATGCGCGTGAGGCCGCCGACTTCAGGCCGCCAGTTTTGAAGAGGTGAGTGTTTTCACTTCCTTTCTTTTCCATTTGGGTGTCGAAATGATCAGTGCTCTCGCAGATTTGGACGACAAAGGCAACGATTGGGACGTTTTGATGGTGATGACCACTTCATCGACGTCTGGGTACTTTTATCACAGCTGCACAGGGTCGGCCGATGTCCAAAGTGACTCATGACTTTCGAGAAGAACACCAAAGAGCACACGAGGACTGACCTTTTCTTTCCAGATCTTTGTAGGGTCCTAGTGATGCAAGAAGAAGATGGACGCAATCCATCCCACAGACAACCAGAGCAGCAGGCAATCTCTTTCGGGAAACTTTACGGGTAAGAATAGAGTAGAGGAAACCAAAGATTCGCTTGATTCTTTTAAGACACTCGTCCAGTCAGGAGGCACGACCATTCCAAACTTTGAAACGACGCAAAACTGGTGATGCGCGGGCTGACGAAACAACCGAGTAGGATATCCAGTCGCCTCGCAGAACAAGAAAAAAGACAATTTTTCGGTACGGCGCCATATGTACGACGCGTTTTTCTTCTTTTTGTGAACCACACAAACACTGTAAACTCCTGCGGCCGCACACCATAGCTGGTCACAAGCTTGTTTCTCGTTTCGTAGCGCTTGCTCGTTTTCTATTCTTTTTCGTTGCGATCGATCTTTCCTTTGTCCTGGTGACACACAACACAAGCAGATAAAAGTTCTTCGAGATCACTTCACATCTTCCCTTCTCGACACCTCGCAAAGGGAGATCCCTTTCCTCTTGCGATCTTGGAGGCCGATCCAGCGACCCTTTGGAGGAATTCGGGAGCCCATCATCGTTTCCCAGCAGCCCAGTTCCGCGATCCGCCGATCCAGCCTGGTCATGCGCAGGCGTTTCAAGGGGCTGGTCAAGAGACTGCTCTTGAGATCGTCGAGAAAGGACCACATCGTTGGCTCGTTCAGGGACAGTGGTCTTCTCAGGCTGGCCTCGTCCTCAACGAGGAACAACGCGAGGATGATCCTCGTCCAATCCCAGGAGCTTGGAGACATGGAGGAGAACGACGCGGTATCGGGTCAACCTCTGGAGGACAATTCCTTGGATAGTTTCCACTCGTGCAAGACTTCCATCTCCTCGAGCGATCACCTCCCGATTCATGATCATCCAGCGGCAGTCGCGGCAGTAGAAGATTCAACAGCATCCTTCAATCTCCGGATCTATGCCGTGACTTGGAACATGAATGGCAAGGTATGAACATCGAATCTCTCAATGTTCCTTTTTGTTCTTACACTGTGACTCCCAGATCCCACACGACTCTCTTCCCAAGCTTCTAGAAAACGGGAGAGGTGACTACGACTTATACGTGATTGGGATCCAAGAATCGCCAGTTTCTTCGCTGAGGCGTGTTCTCCATCCCATTCTCGGCAAACAGTACAGGTATGCTTCTTTCTTTCGTAGGGAGTGTGATCTTTCCCATTTCTAGCCATAGCGTAGCAATGTTTTCGGTTCTTTAGATTTGTGTGTTCCTCCAGTGACACAAATGTCAACTGATTTCTCGAGAGATGGGATTTTGACTTGGTGGCTCTTTTCCGCACAGCTTTGTGGCAAAGTCAGTGATGGGCTCGCTGCAGCTCTACGTGTTCGGGAAATGTTGGCTGCAACATCACATATCCGGTAAGCTTGGCTGACTTTTTCCGCTAATGAATATTTTTTTTCATTCTTTTTTCCTGAACTCACTGGAGAGTTTGTTTGTTTTTCTTGCTTCCCACGGCCAAACAGCCAAGAAAGTTGATAAAGTTCGATTCAAGGGCTTTGGTGGAGTTGTAGGAAGGCAGAAAGGCGCTGTAGCCGCGTCCTTTTGTATCGGCAATTCATCCTTCCTCTTCATTGCGTCCCACTTTGCCGGTAAGAAAGAAGAATTTGCTTCCAAAAACTGTTTCTAAACACGAAAACACAGCTCACGAGAAGAAGGTGAACGAGAGGCACGTTCAGTACTCGCGAACCCGGCAGAAGATCTTTTCGCCGCCGAGCACCTCACAAGAACAGCCCGGCAGCAACTTCATGGACGAGTCCGACGTTGTGGTCTGGCTCGGAGATCTAAACTATAGAATCGAAGGCAGCAGAGGTCTCGTCAAATCGTTCGTGAAACAAAACCTTGAGAAGGTACGATACAGAATCTTTCCTCTCTGGTTTTCATGGTTTCTTCCCTGTGGATCACAGCTGCTATGGAAACGCGATCAGCTCTTCAACGCAGTGGACAAAGGCGAGGTCTTTAATGGATTCGTGGAAGGACCTCTCGAGTTTAAGCCAACTTACAAGTACGATGTTGGAACGGACGACTATGATACGAGTGGCAAGGTTTGTGAATATTTCTGCTATGGATATTTGCAGCTCACAATTTCTTGTGATGTTTACGATCAGGAAAGGGTTCCATCCTGGACAGATAGAATTCTTATCAAGATTAGAGATGAAAGCTCTATCAGCCTGGATGTTGACAACTATCAGTCAATCGATTCTTTGCGGAGTTCCGATCACAGGCCTGTCAAGGCACTTCTTCGCGTCACCAATCTCAGCTAGAGCAAGTCCCCAACTCTCCAAAGTTTTGACAGATAGTTGTGACATAAAAAGGTTGTAATTTTCTATACGTCCATATCTCTTCCATGCTGAAGATCATGGGAGGTGGATTTTAATGAGATTTCACTTTCAACTTTAGTCGTGAGGAGATACAAATCGTTCTCGAAGGCATGAATGTCCGAGCTCGTGACTCTCGTGGGAAGATAAAGCTTTGTTTTTCTTCCCTCTGTTTGTGTAAGGGAGACAGAGGTCACATTTCTCGCGTGGGCATACGAAGCTCTAGTATAAATCCAGTGTGGATATCTTGGATCATCCATTGCAGGCATGGAATCGTCCTGTGGAGTCCTTCTCCTTGTACTCATCGCTGCTGCGGCGAAAGCTTTCGCTGCTGCTCCAGCGTCCATCGACTGGCGAGCCAGGGGTGCTGTGACGCCAGTGAAATCCCTTGGAAACAACTGCTCAGGTGAGCTTCTTACAAGAGTTTCTCATGGGTTTGATTCATGGATCGAGTTCCAGATGGGAGCTGGGCATTTGCAACTGCTGCTGCCGTGGAAGGAGTCCACTACATTGCGACTGGACAGCTCGTGGACCTCTCGGCCCAGCAGCTCCTCGACTGTGACACGGCCTATGGGAACTCGGGTTGTAGCAAAGGCTTCCCCCAGAACAGCTTCCCCTATCTCGAGGAGGGTGCCGGCTTGCACAAGGAGGCGGACTATCCTTTCACTGGAAGCTCTGGCTCTTGCAAGAAGAAGGTTAGCCTCGATCGAAAGCTATCCATGATCTCGATGATGGTATCTTATTTTGTAGGATGGTCTCGTGGTCACTATCGACAGCTTTGACAACGTCTGGGGTTCCAGCAGCGACGCCGAGATGGTCGAGCGCGTAGCCAAGCAGCCAGTGACAGCTCTAGTGGACGGAGACGCTGACGCTTTCAAGAAGTACAAGAGTGTAAGTTCCTACTTTCCATTCATCCAAAGAGTGTGAGTCGAGAACTTGTTCTTCGTTCTTGCAGGGCATTTTCAAGGGACCTTGCTCGGAGGACAAGCCCCGGCTGGCGGTCCTCATCGTCGGCTATGGCTCGGAAAAGGGCGAGGACTACTGGATCATCAAGAACTCCTGGGGGACTTCGTGGGGCGAGAATGGCTACATGAGGATCCAGCGCGGCAACCACGGTCTCCCCTATGGGCGATGCGCGATTAACTCGTTCGTCTACTACCCGACCAAAGCTCCCTCCACCACCGGCTCTCCCGACGGCCTCGTCGGCTGGTGGGAAATGAACGAGAGAAGCGGCAGCGTCGCCAAGGATTCCTCGTCCAGCAACGCCGCGGGAGCCATCTCCGGCGCGTCGTGGAGCTCGAGTAGCGGCCTCACTTTCAGGGGCTCGGGGAGAGTTTTCTGCGGTGGCGGGGCATCGCTGTGCGGCAAGACGCCATTCACACTCGTTGCATGGGTGAAGATCGCCGCGTCTTTCAGATCCAAAGGCGTGATCATGCAACAGCGAGGCCCCGGGAGCTGGAGCGGCAAGGTGACAACCGATGGCTATAATGGCGAGTATCAGCTCTACGTTGAGGGTGGCAAGCCGAGCTTCTGGGTGTACGGCGACTTCGCCGACCAATTCCGTTTCTCGGCCTCGGCGTCCGTCAATGACGATCGGTGGCACCATGTCGTGGCGGTGAGGCAGGGAAACCAGGGTCTTCTCTACGTGGATGGAGAGCTCTCCGGATCGGCCAGCGGCGAAGCGAAGAACTTGGTGTCCAATCTCCCGGTTTACCTTGGGTGTGACTGCCGGGACAACGTTGACTTCTTCACTGGATCTCTCTCGGGCTTGAGGATTTATAACCGGGCTCTCTCGGCTGCCGAGATCAAGCAGCTCAAGGCAAGCAGTGCACCGAGTGCTAGCGATACCACGTCGCTCCACTCAACTGGTTGAGGTCAAATGCCTGCCTCTCCCCTGTTTTCACTAACTCTTTTGGCCTTTCAATCAAAAAGTTGACCGGGCATCAGCTTTTTTAAGTGCAATAACCTTTAGTCGACAAAGTTTATCTTGAAATTTCTTAGTTCCATTTCATTAGATTCAAATCTAAATAAAAATTAAAGCAGACATGAAGATCACATACAATTAGTTAACATTTCAAAACATGGGTGATCTTATTGGGATACCTTTCCTTGCCCGCTTTCTAAATCCTTGAAGAGCAGGAGCTCCTTGACGCTTGTCATGCTCGACAGTATTACAAGGGGCACTAAACACATGTACTGCCTCGTCCATTCTCCTCCTCGCACAAACTTGCTCAATGGAGCTTTGCTCTGGCTGCTTTCGTTTCCTGTCGGATGGAGCCTTTTTCGCCTTGGGAGCCCTAGGTCGATCCATTGGCTTGACCTTAACGACCCGGGCTTGATGATCGTTGAGCTCACTTCTCGGTTGCGCATCACCATCTGGGGCGACCTCGCCAAAAGGTGACGGAATGTTCTTTTCCTGACCCTGATCGACTTGGGCTTGCTGATGCGCGACGAACCCTTGACACTGGAGCTTGCAGTAGAGCGAGCAGTAGAGAGCTCCGTGCAGCACCCTCTTGCAGTGGCGGCATAGTACCGAGTTTTGCACCTCTATTCCTCGGGGCCTGGCGTGGAGATAAAAGATTGGGCCTCCGTTGATGGTAAACGTCTCCAGCCCCGACGTATCGATGAGGCGCTCCGCCTCACACGCCTTGAGTGCAGTAAGGCGGCCTGAGATTACGATCTGCAAAGCGTTTCGGGAGTCGCAAGTCCGGTGATCCTTTTTGCATTCTTGACACAGGGACACTAAACACTGCTTGCAGAAGAAGCTCTTCTTGCGTTTCCCGGATGTGCAGTTGGCATGGAGTTCACACACTGTGAAGAAGTCCGTCACGTTCAACAAAGCTTGCAACCACGACGCCATAACTCTCGTAAAGGAAATGTGTCTTCCTTTAGGTCTCCACTGTTTACATACTTTGTAAAATACGGTTCCTAAATTAAAACACCTTTTCAAATATTCTATTTAGAATATTTGAAAAAGGAACTGTATTTTATGGTGGTTAAGAATATTAACAATAAAAAAATCTTTACGGAATTGTTCCAAGCGTAGCATTTCCATGCTGGACATCCTCTTGTCGAGGTCCTGGAGCCTAGTCGCTTGTTAGAAGCTAATGAAGTCTTGAGAGAGTGAAACATAGGGTGCGTCATCCATTGGATTCAACTCCAGAGCTCTTGTTGCAGCCCAAGTTCCAATGTTATAGTCTAGCTTCGAGGCAGCCAGTAACAATGTCTTCCAGGTGACACAATCTGGACCAAGCGGCATCTCCTCCACGGCTTGACGCACTTGTCGCAGCAAACCAGCTCGTCCCAGCGCATTTAAAGCGCAATTGTAGTGATCCAAGCATGGCGAGAGACCGTGATCCTCGATCATCGAGGAGAAAAGCTTCAATCCTCGCCCCAGATCTCCCCTCGAGTTGCACGAGCTGAGGATCCAAGTGAAAGTGGTGCCGTCCGGTGGCACGTCTTCCATCCTCATTGAGCTCAAGAGCTCGACAGCGCTATCGTTTTGGAACACTGCACAGGCTTGAAAGATGGAGTTCCAGGACGCCACTGACTTCTCCGGAACTCGATCAAACAAACGCTTGGCCTCCAAAAGTTGGCCTCTCCTCACGCAAGCCGCGATCAAAGTGTTCCACGAGACAACATCTCGCTGGGGCATAGCTCTGAAAATGTCAGCTGCTTCGCTCGATTCCCCATTCTCCGCAAACGCATCCAGAACTATGTTCCACGAAACCAAGTTGGTTTCTGGCATTTCATCGAAAACTCTCCGCGCTTCGTATGGATGCCCGTTTTGGGCATACGCAGCAACCATGGCAGTCCAGGCCACAACGTTTCTCTGAGGCATTTGATCGAACAAAGCTTTGGCCTGGTCCATATAGCCAAACCGGGCATAAGCAGTGATCAGAGTGCTCCATGAAACAATGTCTCTTTCCTGCATAGATTCAAACAGAGCTATGGCTTCGTCAAGATTCGCTGCGTCTGCGCAAACAAGAATCATGGCATTCCAAGACGCCAGGTCTCGCATCGGCATTTGATCAAACAGTTCCCGTGCCTGTAATGGATGCCCATTACGGGCATATGCTGCGATCACTACGGTCCAAGAAAAGAGATTTGGTCTTCGAATGTGATCAAACACGTACTTGGCATCTTCGACGCTGCCACACTTGCCATACATTTCCACCACAAGGTTGGCGAGATAGACAATGTTGAGATAGTTGCCTTGTCTCAAGCAACTACATAGATCCCGAGCCTGAGATAAATCCCTGCAACTCTTCACTCGCTCGGCTAAAGAAGAGATCAAGACCATCTGTCACGGATTGCTGATAACGTAAAGAAAACGAGCTCGATCCAAAAACCATGCAGAGGATCGAAACACAGGAAGCCCGTGACGATCAAAAGCCCGAGCTTCTTACGAGCTTCATCGCCACGAGCAAAAGAACTGGCGGTGGCAGAAAGACGTAGCCCGAGAGAAAGCTTCCTCGCAGCCAAATCCCAAAGACGAGCGTGAAGACGGCAACGTCGCAAGCTCCTCCCCACAGCGAGCTCGCTTGCATCACCAAGTAAGCCACGAGCATGCCTCTGCCACCTCCAATCAGCCATGCTACTGCGAGTGCCAGTTTGTACCACGTCGAGAGCTTGGTCCGGAAAGACATCGCGACGCCAAGAGCTGCCAGAGCTGCCCGGATTCCAAACCTGTAGAAGATCACTGCCAGCGTCCAAGTTGCTAGAAAGATCATGTTTCGGGAGCTTTGCCACTCCGCCAGCCAGTCTTCTCCGTCATCCTGTGATTCCTCGGCCATGTTTGAGCTATCGAATTCGTCGTCCCTGGCCCCGGTCCTGTGCCTCCTCACCCAAGTCGGCTCAAACTTTCGTCTCCTACGAGACGAGCGTCCGGACCTTCTCTCGTAGTCACTGGTATCGAAATCCACCTGAAAAAAGGAGCAAGGTGATTTTCATCGTATCGCGAGTCCGAACGAAGCACTTACGCGTTCATAGTATCTATAGCTTTGAGAGCGTGCATATCTGAAAGAATTGTAGTCCGTCCCCTCTGGAGAACTGGTTGTCCTGGTTCTTTGGTGATGAAGTGTTTGATTGTATTCTCTTCTGCTAGTCTCGTTGGACAAAACCTGGAAGAAAGGAAGGATCTATGGCCACGAAGGAAAAAAAAAACACAAAGAACTTCACCTCATACGCTACTCGGACAGACTTGAAAATCTCTTCCGCGTCCGCGGCCTTGTTCACATCCGGATGGTACTGCACACAGCAGCCTGCCATTGTCAATACTAACGCTCAGTTACAACAATGGAGGAACAGAAAAAAAACAAACAAGAACCAAGGAACAGATGAAAGAACGAAGAAAAAAGAAACCACGAAGAAACAATGCACTCTCACCTTGTGCGCAAGCTGCCGGAACGCTTTCTTGATCTCCAGCGGGCTCGCATTGTAGTGCAGCCCAAGAATCTCGTAGTGATTCTTCTTCCCGCCGCTGATAGCTCTTGGGATCCACAGCGCCCGCTTCCCGGTGAGGCGCGACGAGCGATTGAACCGCGAAAAGACCTGTGCAGCGCCGAAATCACAGCGAAGCGATGGCGATGGCGCTGCATTCTTCCCCAAAACCATCGACTGGTTTTTAGGGCTCTTGGAGAGATAAGCCAAACCCCTGGTTTTAGGGTTTTGGCGTGATGAGCTCTAGCGAGGACGAGGACGGCGCTGGATGGGAGGACTGGGCAGAGAATGCCGACGACGCTGGATCGATCGTGAAGTGTCTGCTTTGCTCCTCTTCCTTCTCCTCCGCCGATCAAGCATTCCGTCACTGCTCGCAGCAACACGGCCTCGATTTTGGCGCTCTGCGGCTCCATTCTCGTCTGGATTTCTACCAGGCCTTGCGGCTGCTAAATTTCATACGCTCTGAGGTATGGTGTTGCGGTTCTCGCTTAGATTCTCTTCCAAATCTTTTTGTCTTTCTTAGGTAGCGGCAGAGAGATGTTGGAACTGTGGTGCTGAGTTCCAGGACGAGAGGGCATTCCAGGATCACGTCGATTCCACGCGGCATTGCTCGCTGCCCGGGTCTGATCGTTGGAAGGACGACTTCTACTTGGCTCCTTTCCTCAAGGACGATGCGTTGCTTTACAACTTCGACTTGGACGATATCGAAGAGGATGGTAACGGTACCATTGATCGAGACGAGATCATCAGCGAGCTAGCAAACTTGGATCCGGGAGAAGGATCCATTGACGAAGCTATAAGAGAGCTTGCAACTAGCTCTTTGCCAACGAGTGATGGAAAGCTTGCCGAGAAGAAGAAAAGAGTTAGCTTTGACAACGTTGTCAAAGAAGAGATCCTGCGCGTTAACAGCAAGTACTTCAGTTCTTATGGCGAGTATGGGATTCACAGGGAGATGCTTGGCGACAAGGTAAGCTTCCTCGTTCTTAAAATGTTTATCTTGATGGCCTGTGACTCTAGGTGAGAACCGAGGCTTATCAAAAGGCTATTTTACACAATCCTCCTTTGCTGGAGAATGCTCTAGTGATGGACATTGGCTGTGGAACCGGGATCTTAAGGTACAAACTGGCTGGTGATTTGGTCTAGAGCAACAGCTTGTTTTGCATTGCAGTCTCTTTGCGGCGAAGGCCGGCGCGTCGAAGGTGATAGCTGTTGATGGAAGCGAGAAGATGGCTATGGTTGCTCGAGAGGTAACGCTATTCTTTCTCTCGTTTTTCTGCCTTTCTGATAGTGATTTGTTTCGTTCAGGTGGCTAGAGACAATGGATTTATTAGCGATGGCTCTTCTGGTAATACCATAGAAGTTGTTGGAGGAATGATCGAAGATCTCGATGGAAAGTTATCCATCAGTCCTCACAGCGTCGACGTGATCATCAGCGAATGGATGGGTTACGGTCTCTTGTATGAGTCGATGCTTGGCTCGGTGTTGCATGCACGGGACAGATGGTTGAAACCCGGGGGATCAATCTTGCCAGACACAGCGGAGATGGTAAAGCTTGAAACCAGCAAAACTTATCTTCGCTCATGCGTTTTGTGTGCTTGGTTTTGCAGTTCGTAGCAGGATTTGGCAAAGGCGCTACAAGCCTCCCGTTTTGGGAGGACGTCTATGGCTTCAACATGAAGCGCATCGGGAACGAAGTTCTTGAGCACGCAGCGAACGCACCCGTGGTAGACGTCGTGAACAAGGAAGACATCGTCACAGACTCTTTCTCGATCCAGGTATTGTCACGCAGACGCATTCCAGGACTTTTTAACTTTGTTCTTCCTCCTGCCAGAAATTCGATATCCTCACGATGAAGCCCGACGACGTCGACTTCCATGCACACTTTGAGCTCAAGCCCAGGACCGCCTCTCCAGTCTGGTGCTACGGAGTGGTACTTTGGTTCGACGTCGGCTTTACCGAGAGGTGTTGCAAGGTTTCTCCGGTTACAATGACGACATCTCCGTTCTCTCCAAGCACGCACTGGTCACAGACGATCCTGACGTTTAGAAATCCGATCCTTCTAAGCCGCGACGCAAGCGCAGGACCCGGAGAGCCTGGCACGAAGGAGAACCCGGCAGCGTTGCTGAAGGGAAGGATCAGCATCGCGAGAAGCTTCAAGCACCGCAGCATTGATATCTCCCTGGAGACGGCGGCGGTGGCGGCTGAAAGTGGAGCCGCGTTTCCAATGCCTGTCCAGATTTTTGGGTTATAGCAAAAGGTCCCAAGCTTCGGTAAGTTGTGCTACACTTGAGGGATGAGATCTCCCAAAGTTTTGCTCTCATGGCTGGAACGCTATGAATTTCATTCGGATAGAACCATATTAAACTTGCTTGTTGACAACAAAGATTATGCTAGAACATAAATCATTCCTCGTGTTAGCTTTGGGAGTTGAAATTATCAACAATCACGAATTTCATTTTTTATCAGCTCAGGAGCTTCTCCAGAGCGGCGTTCTCGTCTCCACCGCAGCACTCGAGGGCAGCAGTCGCAACTTCATCCGTGAAGCCCATTTCTACCAGCTTTGCTACCTGTGAGAACCGAGAGCTATGAATTTACGCTAAACATCACTGTATACAAGTACCTTTTCTTCCATGCCAAGCGAAGATCTTTTCGCAAACGATTCAGTCCAGTATCTCGCAGTGCTCTCGAAGACTGGATACTCACGCAAGTACTGGATCAAGCAAACAAAGCAAGTTGGCAAAAACTTTTAGCACGAAACGTTTTTTTCGCTCTTTACCTGTTTTGCGACCACTGCGTCTTGAGGATCACCCGGCTCGGGCGTGGAGAGGAGCGCTTGGAGAGAAAGTAGAGCCGTCTTGAGGGTGAGAGCCGGGCTCCACTGGTCTTTGAGAATGTCTAGGCAAATGGCTCCATTTTGGCTGCTGATATTGGGATGCCTGGGCGAAGTAAAAGGAGACAAGATCAGCATCAAAGGAAAAAAAAAACTAGATTTTTTGTTCCTCTTTTCTCGAGCTCTCACTCACCAGACTTTGGTGATGAACTGCATTTTGGGGGGCTCGAAAGGATACGCAGCTAGAGAAGAACAAAATAAAAAGTAAGAGTTTGAGAAGAAAGGAAAAATTTACACTTACAGGGTAACTGAATGTCGACAGTGAAGATACCGCCCTCGTAGGGAGTGCCGATAGGACCAGTGATTGTCCCCCGCATTCTACTCAGGCCATCGTCAAATACCTGGATGCTCACGCCTGACAGCTTCTTATCGCGCTCGATCTCCACAAGCTCCTTCTGCACACGAGAAACATCGAGCATCTTCGCTTCCTCTCTGGCGCGCCCCCGGCGCCCGCAAATCCCTGCGGTATCCCTCTCTACCTTTCCCCTCGCGTTGATCTGACCTAAGCGACCACAAGCACGGCTTGCCGTGCCTTCGCCATGAGCCCTTTCTTTGCCCACTTTTGATGCCACAAATAGCCATGATTCGAACCGCTCACCTTTTCAAAGGATACAATTTTTTTATTTTCTTAAGTAAAAGAGGTTATTTATGATATTTAAATTTAGAACAACTTTATGTTATTTTATCCATTTTATAAAACATATCTGAATAACAAATTTATAAAAAACTTGAAATCCATATATATGCTAGCAACTGCTCAAGAAATGCTGGGTGGTTGGCAAATTTCATGCCATTTCAAAAGGTTTGCTGAGTTTAACTATATTTTCTGTTTGATTAACTCCACAACTGAAAGATATTCTCTTGACCGAACATGAATGTCTTAACTATAACTTAGTGTGTCTGGACATTTCAAAAAAACTAAGCTGTGGTGGCTGTGGTTATTGGTCGGCTCTTGCATTATAGCTGTAATCATTAAATAATAATGCATTTACTATACTTGGTTGTTGTTTAAACTCCTCAAATCCAGATTTCCTATACTGGAATTTACAAACTCTACCCATAAACATTGCATAAGCTAGATTAGATCAGTGTTGAGTTGCATTCCTCCATTTTGAACGCAAAGAGGCAAAAGAATGCTTCCAAATCCATCTTTGGCCCAAGTGTTGCAAGTTGCTCCACAACCCACTAGAGAGGTTCCTTTTGGGATGAGCTGGAAACCATTATATTGTAATGAGAGCTGCACTTTGGGAAGCAATTGGATGAAAATTGTACCTCTGCCATTAGCACCCCGATAACACATTGCCATAACCAAAATGGCAACATGATTTTTCCTTGGGCTTGGGATCCAACAGCTAGTGGGCCTCCCCACTATCACTTTATATATATAGAAAAATAGGGATTGCAAACTCTTTGATAGTTCTGGCCACGTTAATAATTATTAGTGATTATATCTTAGAGTATCTCACTCTGCTTCCGCCTGCTCGGGTGCACCTCCTTTTTCATCCGCAACTGCGGCCGCCATGATCTCTGGCTCTAGCTCCAGCTTTACTGCTTGATAGCATCCACAAACCCAAACGAACACGTCTCAAATGTCCACAATACACAAAAGGCTAGATTGCTGTGGTTTAGGGCCAAATTAGTGGCCACCATTATTGATTGTGTGGCTAACCCATCAAGACATAACACCTATGACTGGCACAAAATTTCTTCCTCCTGATTGTCACATTGAAATTGCAAGAAAAAAAGAAAATTGTGTTCAATATCAACACCTGACTTACTTTCTTGGTCTTGATCAATCCTAGAAGCTTTGGAGTAATTCTAGTGTTAGTCAATTCCAGAAGTAGAAGCATTGGGCTGTGATGTAACAGCCATAGAAGTGTTGATTCCAAATGATTATGGGCAACCCTAAACTTTATGTGGCATGAGCCCAACACCAATTCTCGGCATAATCATCCTTCATCACCACTCAACAATGATAAGAGTACATGTTATTGGGAATGGATGCAAGGCAATAGGCAGATTTCTTCTGTCTTGGGTGCAATGTGATTTCTGGACTAACATGTGTCTTCTTTAATTCATAGCTTTCACTCACAACACCCAATGAGTTTCTTCTCTTCCAGCCAATGTGCCCATTATTGATTGGCCATCCAAACATTAATGTGATTTTTCCCACAACCATGGATACCGAGCCTAGCCCAGGCCTTAGATCTGACGGCCGGCAGGCCTCCCCACTATCATGTTATATATATAACCCTACTTCCATTTGGGATTGAGTTTATATATATATAAGTAAGGGTTTAGACCTCAATTAATATACCCATTCATATATCACATTGGTAGAGGTGAGGACATTGCAATTTGTCCTTGAACAGTATAGCTTTTTAATAATGCTTTATTTAATGTTTGGGATTATTTAAATTTATATTAGTTTTTCACCAAATCTAAGATTGTAGCTATTAGATTTATTTTGCTTTTTCAATCTTTACTACATTCTCTTTTTCCACCATGCCACATTGTAATCAATCAATTCAGGTTATTGATATTGCTTTGTTGAATTGGGTTTTTAATGCTATGGGGCATGATTATGTATGTTGATGTTACATCCATCCTTAGTACTAACTTCCATGAAACATGATTATATAATATCTTCTATTTTTGGTGTTCTAATATCTCCCACTAGTGGAGTATAATTGTGATATCAATTAAAGAGATATGGATGATGCAATCTAGTTCTTGAAGAATGTTTAAGGATTGAGTTTTTGGGAAAACAATATATATAAACTTGAGTGGGTATTTGACATTAACAAGGAATTTCATTGCTTTAGAGATTGTTAGTAGAGTTTTTCATTTTCTTAAATTGCACAAGAAAATAAAAAGAAAAATATAAATGTGTCTTAAACAAAAGAATGTTTTTTACTCTTTTTTTGGCATGAATATAACTACAAATATCAAAAGTTACATATTAGTGAATCTTTTCAAACATTCTCTCTTTACTACCACAATAGTAGAAGATTAATATTGTTGATTCCTTTTGTTGGTTTCTCTTGTTTAAGTGTATTAAATTTGGCTTAATATCTATACTTAGCCAGATAAAAATAAGATAGGAACTCTTATATATTTCTAGTTGAGCATACTTAGCTTAGGCTTTTAGTTCTCTTTTTCTCTATTTTGTGTATTGAGCACTACTCATTCAATATTTCTATATAAGAATTTAACATGTCCACTAAATACCCCCATTATTATGTTTACCAAACACCGTCGCTGTCATGCCTTATATATTAGTTGTATTAAGTTATTAGTATGTATGATTATTATGCTAGATGATTTTCCAGAAAGTCTAAATCCAAGAGCTTACATTTGGTATCATAAAGTTCTCAAGTCTAACTCTATTGGTTAGCTAAGGGCATCACACTACATGTTGAGATTAATATTTAGTAGAAGAGTTACGGCACTCAACTTCTATTCATAATGCAAAAAAACATAATAAATTATAAATTACTAAAGAGAATAACTTGAGAAACAATTTATTAAAGTTTAAATATAGAGGGAAAGGGCCTATGAACAAAAGTGCACCTCTTTTTTTAATTAGTTAAACTTCTTGAAATATTTAACATTACATCCATAGGTTTGAATAGTACTGGGCTGGATGATTTATTTGAAAGTTCAAATCTAAGAACTTACAATAATCTCTTAAATTTTTCAATTGAAAAACAAAGTATAGTTTTGTTTCTTTAAAATCTGAAAATTTGGGGAAGTTAAGACTCTTACTCTCTTGACACCCTACTGTAAGCAACCAAAAAGAACGACTTGAGAGATGATCTATAGGGTTTAAATATAAAGGGAAAGGGCCCACAAACAAGAGTATACCCCTTTTTTCAATCGGTTAAAAGTTTTGGGATAATTGGGGTTAAGCATCCTTGGGTTTGAATAGTATTGGGGGTGACCTTCCGGGAAGTCCAAATTCAGAAGCTTACACTTACCCTTTAGATTTAACCTAGCTAAAGCAACCAAGTGTTCAATTAAACAAAATATGACTTGAGATTTGTTTTGATATAAAATGTAAACTCCCAAATTTGGAATTCCTAGAAGATCATCCAACTTAGTATTATTTAAACCAAAAGATGTTTAACTCTAAATATTCTAAGATATTTAACTAATAAAAAAAGGGGTGCACTTTTTTCCATAGGCTTTTTTTCACTTTATATTTAAACTTTAATCAACCATCTTTTATTTCCTAGAGGGGTTCCAAATGTATGGTAGGGATAATGGGTAAGTTGGGTATGGCCGACCAACTTGAGGCATATTCTAACTCCTGCTTGCGTGCCTATCCTTGTTTTGCGTTTGGCTTGGGTCTAAGCCCAAGTTCTATACTATGCTAGTTAGTGGAGTATCTATATCTTCACATTAGGCCACCGGTATGCTGAAATAGCGCCAGACTCTGTTTGGCTTCATTTTGCATGTTGGTTCTAGCATTGGGATGCTGGATGTTCTAGAACTGTTTCAAGTCGTTCCTTGGGTTGAATGCTTAAGAGTCACTCTGTACTCCAGTTCCTTTGCTCCTTGGCTCTATACTTAGGAGTTTGACTCCATTCTTTCATTTAGTGGCCCAAAGCTCTGAAATTCGGATTCTACACCACTGTTCTTTAAGCATGTGGCATATAACACGTGGCACATAGAGGGTTTAAGTTTCACTTCATGGTTATCCTATGGTAAATCACCATAGGATGAAGGGTAAAAACCATGTACGCTACAATCATAGCTATACATTTAGACCTCACATCATCCCTCTTCTCAAAATGATGGAAGATTGTCAGGGTTCTCTCGTGGATGGGTTGGGATTTGGAAGAACATCAGGAGGAAACATCAGTGAATTTAAAGGTCATGTCAATTATTCCTAATCCCTTTGTATGAAGTGTTTCAACCACTTCATATGTATAATTTCTGAAGGATCAGCCTATATCATACCGAACTTTATAAACTTGTGGTCCAACTTACGGCAACACTTAATACGATCCTTTCCATTGAGCAAGGAGCCCCTTAGATAAACCACGTATTTATAAGCAACTAAAATGAATGACTTGAGAGATGATCTATAAAGGTTAAATATAGAGGGAAAGGGTCTATGAACAAGAATGCACCCCTTTTTTCAATTTTTAAAGAGTTTTGGGATACTTAGGGTTAATTATCTTTAGGTTATTGGGTTGGTGTAAGGAACCAACTCACCGAGGTGTCGTAGGCTAAAGGAGCCCTGAAAGCATGACCAAAATGATAAAGAGTTCATCGGATGGGACCAAGTCTAAGATCGAGTCCAAGACCGACTCTAAGACCAAGCTCGAGATAGAGTCCGGAATCGAGTTCGAGATCGACTCGGAGACCGAGTTCGAGACCGAGCTTGAGACGGAGTCCGAGATCCGAAATCGGGTCCAAGACTGAGTCCGAGATCAAGTCCGAGGTCGGGTCTAAGATCGGGTCCGAGATCGAGTCCGAGATCGAGTCTGAGACCGAATCCGAAGTCGGATCCGAGATCGAGTCCAAGATCGAGCCAGAGACTAAGTCCGAG